GCGCAGCATGAGGGATCTTCATTCCCCAACCAGGGATCAAACGCGTGCCCCCTGCAGCGGAAGCGCAGAGTCCTAACCACTGGACCGCCAGGGAATTCCAAAATTACATTTTAAATAGATAAGTTGGAAATGCTTAACGGAGACATAAAACTTTTGTTCAAGGAATCAATGTTTTCTTCCAGCCTGAAAGAAGGACTATGTGTGAAAAGAACAGCTACTTCCAGCCCTCTGCTTTTGCAATGCAAGCTATCAAGTTCACAAATTTTGGTTCAAGTTCACAAATTTTGGTTCAAGTTCAGCTTTAGTATTAGTCGACAAGTTTTGTTACGGAGTATTTTTTTTTAATTTATTTTATTTTTGGCTGCGTTGGGTCATCGTTGCTGCGCGTGGGCTTTCTCTAGTTGCGGCGAGCGGGGGCTACTCTTCGTTGTGGTGAGCGGGCTTCTCACTGCGGCGGCTTCTCTTGTCGCGGAGCACGGGCTCTAGGCGCGTGGGCTTCAGTAGTTGTGGCTCAGATTAGAATCAGAGAAAGAGTAGCCCGTCCCGCACCCCAGGATCTGCAGGGCAGGGCAGTAAGCATTCCCAGACAACTCCCATAAGCACTGGAACCCAAGGAGTTTGCTTGTACTTCTCCCTCTGACAAGGCCATCTTCTCCTGCTCCTACTATAAGAAGGTAGCCTTAGGGTAGGGGTGACGGTGTCATCCTCTGGAATGCAAACACACTGTGTCTCCGCCAGCAACACTGCCTTCTAGGCTCGCCTTGCAAATGTCTCCCAACAGTGCTTCTTCCTTGACCCACACCACGTCATGCTGTGGTGTCCAGTCTCAGCCCAGCTGCCCGATGGTCCCAAAGTTTGATGACAGGTCTAGAAGTTCCGTTTGTCTAACTGGCTTGGTTATTTTTCATGGTTCCTTGGCCATCACACACAGTTCCGATCCCTTTTAGGCTGATTTTAAGCACAATTATTTTGTAGTCTGTTTGTGGATCCGATTCAGTGGCCTGTGGTTTCTGCTACCCATTTCCTTGTGTTACCTATGCTTTTGGACAGTGAGTGTGTATTTCTCGGAACTTTCCCTCAGGGACTATTTGAGGCTGAAATTGAAAGCGGATTCTTCCAGAGATGGTTTGCGTTTCCTTTTTCCGGGCACTCAGGAGTATCAACAACCTGTGACCCTGCTTTACGCTCTCAGCTCCTAGTTTTTCAGACCCGCAGGAAGTGCAAATTCAGGCGGCAACCTTCTTAGGTGCCAAGTTAGAGTTACACGTGGTATGTGTTTCCTAGGGCTGATGTAACAAAGGACCACAAACAACAGCGATTTATCCTCACAGTTCTGGAGGCCAGCAGTCCGAGATCAAGGTGTCAGCAGGGCCGGCCGCTTCTAAGGGCCCTAAAGGAGGACCTGCTTCCGTCTCACAGCCTGTTTTCCCTGTGTGCACGTCTGTGTCTCTGTCCAAATTTCCCCTTTTTATAAGGATACCAGTCATATTGGATCAGGGCGCACGCTCGTGATCTCATCTCAACATGACTACACCTGCAAGGACCCTATTTCCAAATCTGGTCACTTTCACAGGTACTGGGACTTCATTGTATCTCTTTGGGAGGGATACAGTTGGACCCATAACACGTCCTCAGGGAAGTTTTTGCTTCTCCCTCCACCCATTGTCAAGGTCCAAGAAAAAGAATTTTCTCTGCCGTCCATGATGGCTGTGGTGGCTACAGCCGTGGTGAGCTCCCAGTCGTCTTGACGTGTAGAGTGAGGTCCACTGGGGTCCCAGCTTCAAGAAAGAGCTCACCTATTAGATTTGGTACTTTGGTGGGGGGCTGGGCTTTGTCCCCTCTCCTCCACACCCAGCTGGGGTCTATGAACTGGTGGTACTCAAGCTCTCACTAGGTTGGGCGAGGGAGCCAGCTGACCTCTCTGGACTCCTGCCTACACTCACCTTTTGGCTTCTGAGTGTTTCTTCTTCATTACCGGCTCACTGATGAAATCAGAAACACTTTCCCACCGCTTTTGTTGTGCTTACAAGAGAGACTGGTCAGAGTATCCAACGTACCGTTGTAGGCCGAATAACGGGCCCCCAGAGACGGCCACATCCTAATGTCCAGCACCTGTGACCACGTTACCTCTCACGGCAAAAGGGACTTTGCAGGTGTGATGACGGCGAAGGACCTTGAGATGGATTATGTGGGCGGGACCCATCTGATCACGTGTCCTTAAAAGTGGAGAACCTTTCCCAGCTGTGGTCAGAGGGAGACAGAGAGATGTGACCACAGAAGGGTCCGCTATACAACCCTGCTGGCTTTGAAGACGGAAGAAGGGGTTATGGTCCAGGGAACGCAGACGGCTTCTAGAAGCTGGAAAGGCCAGGAACAGATTCTCCCCTAAAGCCTCCAGAAAGGAACAGCCCCGTGCAGCACCTTGATTTCAGCCCAGGGGGACCTGTGTGGGGCTCCTGTAACCCACGGAACCCTACGACGACAGCGTGTGCTGGTAATTTGTCATGGCAGCAACAGAAAGCCCATCTCCCGACCCACCGCCGGAAACAGACACCAAGCCTCTTCTTTTCAGGCAGCGCCCATCACCTCTACATGAGCTGTGATGAAACTGGACTATTTGCTCTTCCCTACCCTTCCTCTCTCATCTCCATCCAACTTTTGTTCATTATCTCTTCTTTCTTAGTGTTTATCTTTATGCTGTTCAGCATACTTACACCTCTATTAGTTTTCAGGTTTCAAGACCAGGTCTTGACTTCTACCTGGAAAAGATGAGAAAACCAGTGCACCTATGCTGCCTCTCACCTCCTGTCTTTTTCTCTTCCCAGCGCTTTCCTGAAATCATTTTGACATTCGTTCTCTCTAAGGGACAGGGTTTAGAATCGTTATATTAGGTTCTGAAACCGAATCTTCACCTTGTCTGAGACGTGTTCCTGCAGATAGAGGTTCAACATCCCCCCGACCCTGTGGTGGAGGATTCCCCCTCCTCCGGCTCCAGGTTGGACCCCGGTCATTTCTGTAAGCAGCGCTCCCACGCGGGACAGTCCCTGAGAGGCTGCGGGTGGGACGTGGCCTCCTTGCTGCCTCTCGTTTAGACGTTGTGAGCACGAAGCCTTGGGCGCACTGACGGGCTGAGGTCCAGGGCAAACCCAAGCTGTTCTCCCGGTTAAGGCACCTGATCTTTCGCTTGCTGCCCTATGGATTTTATTTTCTCTTTGAAGCCCAGGGTTAACCATTCTGTGTTAATTCATTCTTTTATTTCTGGAAAGTTTAAAAAAAACACATTGAAATATTTGTCCTGGTCCGTGATCTTGTTTTGATCCACGTGTGTTAGAGTTCCCTGGCCTGTGAGGACCTGTGGCTGATGCCGTGCGTGTTAGAATCCCAGGTCCCAACCCAACCCCAGCTGGCCCGAGAGCCTAGAGGCTGCCCTGGCGTTGGCTCCCGGTAGCTGCTCTGCTCCAGGTCTCTGCTCTCCGGGATGGGCCCCTTCTCTCAAGCTCAGCCCTGCATTCTGTGTCTTCCAGGGTGTTCCTGTCAGCAGTGGTGGAGTGGCGGGTAGAGGCGTCCACGTCACCTCAGCAAATGGGTTGTTTCCTTCTTTCACCCAGGGAGTGTTTCTCAGACTCTGGACAAAAGAGGCCTCCACGGTGGCCCTACCCAAGGGGAGTCTGCGGTCGTCAGAATCAAGGGGCAGGACACTCAGTGCCCCTAAGAGCCCGCAGGCAGCCACCCTCAGAGACCGGGAGTGCACGGCTCCCACCTGCTTCCCAGCGTCTGGGGTAACCTCGGGCGGGCAGGCCTGTCCCCGCTGGGCCTGCACCCCGTCCACACGAAGGCCTGGGGCTTCCCACCCTTTTCCGGTCTGGACCCCTCAGCGGGTGCTGCTGGTGCCCTCCCCAAGGGCCCCCAGCCCCCTGTTCACCCGCAGCTGCCCCTCAGGCCGCCACAGCTCTCTGCTCCCCGGCCTGGAGCTTTCTCCAGGGCCGTCCAAGCTCAGGGCAGCTGAGTGCCGGCCCAGGGGCTGGTCAGTGAGGGTCTGGGCCTTTCCATCCCTTACGTGTGGACACGAGAACTCAGAACTAGAGGCTGGTTCTCAGGGAGGCGGTATGGGAACACCTGGCCTCTCGGGGGACTCAGGCCTGAGAGATTCTCAGAGAGGGGGCGGTCCCCCCATCTGGTTCTCGGGGCACCAGCTTAAGCCAGGCTCCGAGTCTCCCTCGGCCCTCACCGCCCCAAGGTGGGTCCCGTCCGGTCCCATCTCTGCAGTAACAAGACCCAACATTCTCCAGGCTGTGCACCCAGCCCAGGTCCTGCATCTGCAGCCCCCGGTGTGGCCAGGAGTGGCCACATGCCCAAGCCTGGGTAGGGAGAGTAAGGGGAAGCGCTGTGTCGGCTTCTGCATCTGCCCACAGCCTCGATGGCAGCAGCCCTGGCAGCCACCTTGGACCACGAGGTAACAATGAGGAAGGAAGCGCGTGCTGAAGATGAGGGGAGTCTGGGGTGTGGCGGGGGCCCCAAGCCACCCTGGGCTACCACCTCTGCACTGCTTCCCCGTAAGGGAGAAGGAAGTCTCTACCGCACTGTTCTGATTTCCTCTACCACAGGCCACAGAGTCGCCCTCCGGAGAGATTTTTATCTCCAACACATATATATAAAGAAACATGCTCAGGAGGTGAAGGACATGCCCAAGTGGCAGGGCTGGGGTTTGAATCCCGTCCCAACAGAAGACAGTGACACCCGCCTCTGAGAGCTGCTGGAGGGGTCACAGGGCGCTGCATAGGAAGCCCATGACCGGGGCCGGTCTGGAGGTGCCTGGTCAGTGGCCCGGCGTCACTGTCGCCCAGACCCCCAGCGGGTGGCTGAGGCCGAGCCCCCCCAAGGCCCATGTCTGACCCAGGCCACCGCCCCCTGGGCCGACAGTATCCGGACGGGGCAGACCCTTCTGGACACACAGGAATCCAGCCAGTCCCTCCTCCCCAGCATGAAAGGCCAGCCACTCCTGCAGAAAAGAACTCAGGTTTATTTGTGGTAGAAACCGTGGTCTGAAAAAAACCTATTGGCAAATGTACAGTTTGCGTTCTGTTTGGGGTCCCCACCAGCTGCGGGACCCCCAGATCCCTGACCCGCATGCGTTGGGCTCCTAAGTGTTCACAGCTAATCTCAGGCCCCAGGTCCGAAGCCCCGCCAGAGGGCGTCCCATCTCCTGCTGCAACCACCCGCGTCCCAGCCTGTGCCCGGCCCTCCTCCCCTGCTGCTTCCTGCAGTGCAAAAACTAGCCCAACCGAGACAAGCTCCCTAACACACAACAAAGCAAAACAGTCACAAGGACCAGGGTTCTAAATGAGGTTTCCTCAGTGTCCTTCGTTATCACGACGCCTTGTTTCATGATGACCTCAAATATACATTATTTTCTTGCTATTATAAAATCTCTTCCTTATTATCCACAGATATATAATGGGAGTTTTGGAGGAAATAACGACCAACCTGTTTTTCCCTTAAAAAGCAAACAAGGCAAACCAAAACCAAAACGAAACGAAACAAGACCCTAAAACAACATCAGTAACAAAAACCAAAGCTTTTCCCACAACCGTAAACACGAAAGGCGCTGGCCGGCTGGTCTTCTCCCCTCCCGTCCCGGGCTCACAGCTGGGCCAGCTGCGCCGAGGTCACGTGCAAAGTGCTGGGTGCACCCTGACAAGGATTTGGGTCTGCTCTCTCCGTGGAAAATCCCTCCTTCCCCCGCTTTGCCCACCGCCCCCCAAATACAATCCTGTGACCCTCATTTCCCAAAAGCCTTTGTGGGCTGCCTTGTCTCTCCTGCCTGCACACGCCCTCTCAGACCCCTCCCCATCTCCTCCCCACGCCAGGATGCTGCTGTGTTGAGCTGAGGCTGGAGATCACAAGGCTGACCTCAGAGGAACCCCAGGGTGCAGTGTGGCCACCAGCGCCCACCCCGGCAGGGGCCACCCTTGGCAACGCCCGACCTCGTGCAGCTGACCGAAGGGAAAGGGGGACCCGCGAAGCCCACGCTGCACCCCTAGCTTTGGCACGGAACTCGGAGGGGACAGCGTCACTGGGTCTCAGGCGGCATCCGGGCGGAGAGAAGAGGGTCCGGCCAGCCAGCCAGAGGTCAAGGGCCAGGCGGGGTGCGGAGGGCGAGCTCGGGGGCGGAGCTTCCCCAAGAGCACTGACCTCGGGCTGTGGCCGCAGGCCCTGTTTCGTGGGCTGCAAGAGCCCTTGGAAGGAAGACTTGCCGAGGGCTAGAACTGACATCTGTGCAAAGGCTGGGAAGACCCTCAGGGACCCCCCTGCAGGACATGGGACACCCAGAGGGCCCGCCTGCTTGGGGGCGGTGGCGGCCTCCTTCTGGAGAGGAAAGTGAACAGCAGAGACCAGGCCAGTGGAAAGCCCCCTCTGCTTCCCACCCACGGGAGGGCTGGCAAACCATGTATCCACCCGGCAGCAGGACAGGACAGACACGCACCAAGGGCTCAGGGCAAAGGACAGTACCACTGACTGGGGAGCGGGGTCGGCAGCGTCAAGGTTCCCAAGGCTCCCACCCCAGGGTCTCCGCACACCCCCGGTGCAGAGGGACAGCAGGAGGCCGGGGGGCCGCACAGGCCCCGGCGATGCTCCCTCCCTCTGTCCCCGAGCACAGCAGCCTGGCTCTGGGCCCTTCCGCCTCCCCCTGGGAGCAGCAGGGCGGAGGGTCCAGAGGCTGAGCAGAAGGGACCAAGGGGAAGGTCCCCAGCCTTCCCCGGGACAGCATATGCCATTCAAACCTAAGCTCCTGCAGGCCGTCTCGACAGGACAAGGGCAAGGTGAGCTCTGGCCTCAGCTGTCGCCCAGAGCCTGGCTCGGGACGCCGCAGGCACTCCCTCTACTCGGCCCTCCGGTGGTGAAGCCAGGCAGGGCTGGCCCAGGTCTCCTGTATGTACAAGCGGCGTACCCAGGACAGGCCACCAAGGGCAGGCTGATGGTGGGACGGATCACACGTAGGGTTCTGAACACCCTCCCCATCCCCACGGGCTGTTGGAGACTGGAAGGTTGGCGGGCATTTCCCCTCTGAGTCTCAGAGCTGGAGACAGGCTTCAGCACCGGAGCGACTCTTCCAAGAAAATCGGCGAGTCCTGTCCGCGTTCTTGCTGTCACTGGATGCCCTCTTCTTCTACGTACGTTGAAGGAAACCAGCCAATCTGAGAAAGACGACAGGCTCACGTTAAGAGTGTGTGAAGGGTGAGGGCAAGTGGAGGTCTGTGGAGGTGGGCAATTCTTTAAGAGGCTGACGTCCTAAGGCAGGCCCACCCCCCGAGAGAGGCCCTGGAGAAGAGTCAGAGAGCCTAGCGGAGCCGAGGCCCAGGAGCAGGGGTGACCCTGAAATGCACCAGCCCAGAGCAGTTCAAGGCGACCTGCCCGCCAGCTAACCGCCCGCCAGCAAAAAATTAAATCCTCTCTGGAGGAAAATAACATCATCCAGGGCCTCTATGGTCTTTTATACGCAAGCTCGGCATTTAATCAGGAACAAGTGACAGAAACTAAGAGAAAATGCAGACAGCAGAAACCAGTCTACAGGTCATCCAGGTATTGGGTCATCCATCAGGAAACGTAAGTGGCTCTAACCTGTCTGCTTCAGAAAACTGATGAAAAAGCAGAAAATCGTCCCAGAGAACTGAAATCAGAAATCAAATGGAAATCCTAGAACTGAAAACTATAATGACTGAAGTTAAGAGCAGATTAGACAAAGCAGAAAAGAAGACTAATAGACTGGAAGAGAAGTCAATAAAAAGTAATGAGATGGAAAACCAGAGAAAATGGATGAAACACACATAAAACAGTAAAAATATTATGTGGGCCATGGTGAACAAGATCTACCATCCATGTGAACAGATCCCCAGGAGGAAAGAGAGAAAACGGAGCAGATACACTATCTGAAGAAATTTCCAAAACTGATGTAGGACATCAAACCACACATTCAAAAAAATCTCTGCAAATCTCAAACAGAATGAATACAGAGAAAACCATACATAGGCACAGTATAGTAAAACTGATGAAAAACAAAGACTTTTTTCCCATGGAGCCCAGTGGGGAGTCGTGCAGACACTTCCTCCAAAGGAATCACCGTAAGAACGCTGATGGACTTTTTCTACGGAAATGATGGAAGCCTGGCAACAATGGAATGACATCCTCGAAGTGCTGAAATAAAAGATCTGCCAGCCTAGACTTCTAAACCCAGTAAAAAATACCCTTCAAAAATGAACTCAATAAAATGGCTCACAAAAAGGAAGCAGGTCTCATTGGAGAGATGACTGATTGCTGGGGGAAAGTGACCAAGTGGCGAAGAGAAAGCTTTTCCTTACAGTAGAACTCCCACTAATAAGTGTATAAAAAAAGATAGAAAATCGCTATTCTCCACCATGATAGAAATAACTGAATAGGCAAAATTCATCGATGAATGATAAAACTAGAAGGTGAAAGGTTGATGAGGAAGAGCCTGTTTATCTGATTTCAAAGTATTACCCCGCACATTACTTATCAATTACAGTAAATTCAGAGTGGAGAAACCTGTCAGACACCACCTTAACCAAGTGATCAGCGTTAACGTCACAATAATGGGGCAAACAATAAACTTCTTGAAAGGACCCTACAGCCACTGGAAAAGAGAAAACATCCCCATCGTGGTGTTCCCACCAAAAAATACAACCTCAGTCTAATCACGAAGAAATATCAAAGAAACCTAAATTGAGGGATAGTCTACAAAAATAACTGGCCCATACTCTCCACATTGTCAAAGTCACGTAAGACAGAGAAAAGCTGAAGAACTGTCCCAGATTAAAGAGAGTTGAGGGTCATGCCAAGTAAATGCAATTCATGATCTAGGACCAGGGGAAAATAACTAGAGAAGACACTATTGGGACAGTTGTGAAATCTGAATATGGACTGGGGAGTAGATAATTATAGCAAAGGGAAATGTCCTTGATCTTAAGAAATACACACTACAGTTCTTTAAGGGTAAAGCGCTATGATTTCTGCAACTGATTTCCAAATGGTTTAGAGAAAAATAAGTGTACACACACACACACTTACAGAGAGAGAGAGAGAAAATGCAAATGAGAAACCAAATGAACAAACCATTCTTAATTGGTAAATTTGGGCATATGGGAGTTTTTGTAGGACTGCAACTTTTCTTTAAATTTGAAATTATATCAAAATAAATTACAAATATTTTATAATGAAAACATTTAAAAAAGAAAGTGAAAGAAAGATGCGTTCAGATCCAACAAAAACTGAGAATCTATAAGTAGCAGACTTGCACTAAAAATTATACTAAGAGGGAACTTCAGGCACCAGAAATTTGGTTTTGATTGTGTGTGTAACAATGCAGAAAGAAATGAGGAACCCTGGGAAAGGAAAAGAGGTAAGTCTAGATGAAAATTAACTGCTTAAAACAAAAATAATGTCTTATGGGGTTAAAAAATGTCAAATTAAGAAACATGACAACACCTGCCCAAAAGTTGGAAGGAAAATGAATACAGTCAAAGGGCGTCAGGTCCTTGCATTGTCTGGTAAGTGGTGAAAGTACTAATTTAAGGTGGTCTGTCAGAAATCAAAGTGTACATTGAACCTCTAAGGTAACCACTTAAGTAACAGGAAAAGAATGTGTAACTAACAAACGAAGCAAGGGGGGTGAGAAGTGGAATAGAAAAATTGATTAATCCGAAAGTCAGAAAGAAAGGACAACAAAGAAGGAATAGACGTGAAAAATAGAAAATAAACAGATAAACAGATAATGCATTTAAATCTAAATATCTCAGTAATTACATTAAATGTAAATGGACTACCTATACTAATCAAAAGGTCAAGACTGTCAGATCAGACTGGCTTGTAAACGTCCATTTATAGTAAGATTTTATCATCTAACTATCTTAAATATAAGAATACAGCAAAGCTGAAAGTAATACAAGAAAGAAGAAAGTATGCCATGCAAAACACTAATCCCCTCAAAAAGCTGGTGTCTCTCAAACAGCAGGTAAAGCAGACTTCACAGCAAGAAGAACTGCGACATTTCATAACAGGGTTAAAGTATCAACAACAGGAATATCTAGCAACACTCTAAACCAGTGGTTCTAAAACTGAACTCTGCATCGAAATCACCTGGGAAACTGGCTGACATCGTGACTGGGGTGAGGGCCCAGCTCCAGGCGCCTCTTGGCACTTTTGAGAGCTGGCAGTCCCAGCCCTCTAGGTGGACTGCCTAGGACTCAGAGGCCTCACACTTCTGAAGGGCTGTCAGATGGAAAAAGGATCAGACCCAAGGGCCTCCAAGGTAGAGGCAGACCAGTTCCTTCCACCCGGCAACGGAATGGTAAGTGACGGAAGCCAAGTCTGTGGGAAGCTGCAGCCCCTGCAAAAGCTGGACGTTTCCTAATCAGTGCTTTGTGGAGCCCAGGCACCCTGTCGGGTGACTGCCAATGGAACTGGTCAAAGCCAGGGGGTCCAGACAGGGTACCAGGATAAGGAGCCATGGGGTTTCAGAATCGCAGGCTGGCTGGGGACACTGTATGTCCCCTCCCATCTCACCAAGGTGTAAACGGGGTCTTATGGGATGGCAGGAGCCCCGTGAGGACATCCCAGCCCTACTCTCAGTCCTGCAGCCTCCCGGCCTGCAAAGAGGGTTGGGTACGTGCAAGGGACTTAAAGAGTGCACCCAACATCTGTCCCCTGCCGTTTCCATGACGGACCGTAGAATAGGACCAAGCACAGATACAGCGTCACACAGGCCGGGGTCCAGATCTGAGCCAGGAAGTCGCTTCCTCACTGTGACCCTGGCTCACGGAACCTGGGGACACCCAACCTCCTGGGCACAGTCAGAGGGCACGGGGTCGGGGCAAGGTGGTGCTGCGGTGCCAGCCTGCCGGAGCCCCACCTTCCCGAGCACCACGGGCTGGTCCCACTCACCCGGCCGTTGGTCTCGCCCTTCCACCAGCCCTGGTCCCCACCGATGCGGCTGTAGATCTTCACCACATCGCCTTCTCGCAGCGAGAGCTCCCGCAGGTCCCGGGCAGCGAAGTTGTACCTGGCCACGGCCGTGCCGATGACGCGGGGCGTAAACACTGCTGGGGGGAGACGGGCGGCGTCACACAGCTGCCGGGCGGGGCCGCCAGGGCTGAGGGTCCTTCGGGCCGAGCTGGGTCTCTCCTCCGGGGCCCAGCCCTGTGCCCACAGAGGAGCCCATGGAGCGGAAAGGCTCTGGTGGGACAGACCAGGCTCCAATCCCAGGGCCCCTCGCTCCTCTGTGGGCGCCCCAACCTGTGGGCACGTGGCCCACCTGAGCTCCACCGTGATTAAGTCAGAGCCTCACCGCCCCACTGGGGGCCATCACGGGCGGCGAGCGTGCCCGCGGGGATACGAGCGGGTGTCGGTGCTCTGTCACAGTTCCCTCGGGGCCTTCCCCCGTGTGCCCAGGGCCTGGGCATCACATGGCCAGTGGACAGCTGAGTGCCCGCTGCCCAGCTCCCAGCCTGCAGTCTGACAAAGTGCCTGGAATTGGACCCCAGAGCACTGCTGCCCGACTTCCCTCGTGTCCCCAACTCCAGAGCCCAAACGAAACCAGAGAGCCGGTTGGACCAGCTTGGCCCGGGACCCAGGAGTCCTGACGGACAGATGACAATGGCCCGTGACGGAAGGGGCAGCACGTGTGGCTGCTGGGGAGGGCTCTGCCTCTGGCAGTAGAGGGCCGTGAGATCAAGGCCAGTCGAGACCTGTCCCCCTGCACCCAAGCCCCACAGGTCCTCCTTAGTGTCGCCGAGTGGGGCCCGCCCCGGGTCTGCTCCCACCTTCACCCCGAGGGGGTCGCCCAGCTGTTTGCTGCTGCCAGACGCAAAGCTCCCGGGGAGCAACGGGGGACAGTGGCTGATGAATTGGAGAGGGGTCGTGGGGGTGAGCATGGCAGGGGTGAGGGCAGCGCCAGGCCGGACTGTGTCTGCAGGAGCCGCGGCAGCCCCACCCCCCGCCCCGCCCCCCGCCGCTCCCCTCTGCACACACCCGCCCCGCCCGGCCCAGGCTGCGGGCAGCTGCGGACACTTTCAGGCCCGGGCCGTGGCCCGCCAGGCAGCTGGCGGCAGGCCGGGCCCCCCACGCCCCGAGCAGCAGCGGTACCTGGCCAGAAGGGCACGGAGGAGCCCTGAGAAGCAAGGCTGAAGCCCTGAGGACTGAGAAAAGAAAAGTTGTAGGAAGCGCAGGAAGCTGCAAAGAGGCGAGAGAGACTGTGAAAGGGGCGCCGGGGAGCATCCACACGCCGTCCCAGGCGCGGTCCCAGGCGGCGGGGAGGGGGCCCAGGCCCCGCCCAGGGCACCAGGAGGGCAGCGGGACGGCGCGGGCCCTCGCTCCACCTCCTGCACCTGTTTCCTGGGCCACCTCCTCCCAATGGGCGGGCTCACGCGAGGATACAGGAAACTACTCGTGCAGATCACAGCCCCTCGCCCGGCACACAGTAGGTGCTCACTAAAGGCCCGTCGCTCCTCTCCTGGCCTGCTCTGCCCCGGTGGGACCCGAGGTCCTGCGGGCCCCTGCAGCTGGAGGAAGTGGGGTGGCTGGCTCCGAGACAGAGCCCTGGGCCGGATGCCAAACACTCTGGGCCCAGCCTGCCCCTGCCCCCAGCTGGCCCCCATCTGCGCTATGGAGCCCCATCTGCAAACAGAGGTACTGGCTCTGGCTCCCTCGTAGCTGGGGTCCCTGGGCGGGGCGGGGGGGGATGCTGGGGTACAGGGATGGATTTGAGGACAGAAGGGACCTGCCCTGTTCCCTCCCCACTCTGACCTCCAGGCAGAGGTATCGACTCAGAGCAGCAATTCATAGCTGGCACTCCCCACCTGTCACATGGGGCCGCCCTGGCACCCTGGCTCAGGAGGGTGCTGGTGAAGGGCTGGGGGGCCTGGGCCACTGCTCCCCGGGGTGGGAATAGGGAAGGGGCTCCTGGCCGAGGTCAGTGCAGCCCACCGGAAGCCTTCCGCGCACGGGCGTTACCTGGGGACCGGCTGGAGGCCCTAGAGGCCACGCGTTCCCGTGACTTGTAGGGGTACTTGAGCGTGGTGTCCAGCTGCTTGAAGCTCTCCTTGAGCGAGTGGCACTGGTAGTACTCTACCAACTCCTGCAAGACGCACACACTCACTGCTACCTCCGCCTCCAGGCAGTCCTCCCAGACGCCCTGCCCTCCCTCTCCCACCTCCCCAGGTTCTGACAGGGGACTCATCTCCTTGACCCCCGGAAACACCCCTCCTCCTCGCTGCCCCTCCTAGCACCCAAACTGGGGGCAGGGTGGTATCGCAAACTTCTGATCCTGCAATTTCTCTCCCAGAAGTTTCTAAGGGAAGAGTCAGGGAAGAAGGCCGGGATGGATGGACACAAACGCTCCCTGCAACACTCTTCGTAATGGAGAAAAACTCGAAACGCCCACACGTCCAACACCAGGGAAGCGCCTCGGGAAAATCCCAGCGTATCCACGTGACCGAACGCCACGCGGCTACAGTGGGGCAGGAAGAGGGCGGCGCCCCTGGTGAGCATTCGCTGTGTTGAGAGGTAAACTGAGAGTTGGGTCCAGTGTGGCCAGGGGCTTTGTTTGAAAAAGGAACCTATAAACCACACCTAGGCTCTACTGAGAGGCGGTGGGGGCTCACCCTGAGACGAGAGCATCAGGTCTGGGGGCAGATCGTGGATACTCTGTTTTACTGGGTGTGTTTCTGCGGCCGCAGTGGGCAGTCTAAGAGCTCAAATGCTCCAGTTAGATGTTCTCCGTGCACGGAACACGTGTAATTTAGCAAAGAAACACCAGGTCCAACTTTAAAATCATTTTAAGAAGGACTATGCCTCTCGCGGCTGGGCTGGGACAGCTGGGGGTAGGGGCATTGGAAGCGGATGGGCTGCGTGATGCTGGTGGCCCTACTGTGTCCGCCACGGGGTCTGGGGGACAGAAGCCTGACTCGGGGGCCTGCGACGAGGCCCTCCCTGTCCCAAGGTGCCCTACGATCCAGTTTCCCTGGATCTTTCCCACACTGGGAAGACTCTCCTCCCCGGGGAGAGGGGGACCCCTGCTGGGCTCTCCCCCTCTGCAAGCCCAGCCCACAGGAGTGGGTGCAGGGGGCCCCTCCTCCCCGGTGTGGCTGCGGTGGGGGACCTGGGCCGGCGGGAGCTGTGGGATCACGTACTGAGAGGCTTTCAAATTTCTTGGCTTCGGTGATGTGCACCCAGCTGTCCTTCTCCACCACCTTGATGTGTTTCACCTCGTCGTTGAATCTGGGCAGAGCACACGGGAGCGCCGGTCACTGCGCGAGCCACACGGCCGCCGGCCCCCCAGGGGTCCAGGCTTATCGTATGTTTGCTGAGCGAAGACCCCGGCCCTTGGCCCACACCTCCCGCTCCTACGGCTGCAACCTCTCTCCCCGCCCCGGCCAGGGCCTGTCTCCTACCGCTTGTCCATCCATCCATCAGGCCACCCGTCTGAAGCCCAAACTCCCGGGTCAGCCAAGGCCTCAGGCCCCGAAGCTCCCCTCCTCTCCTCCATCCAGCGCCGCTGTGATGTCCTGCCCCGGATTCCGCCTGTTCTCTGCACTGGGGATGTCCCCCTCCCCATTCCCCCATCACCTGGTGAGGCTTTCACAGCATGGTTTGTAAGTCAGAGGTCTGACCTTGGCCTGCGAGGCCCGAAGGGAGCACCCTCACCCCAGCTGTGACACCAGCTCCTAAGGTTCTCCTCCTCTGCACCCTCACCCCAGCTGGCCAGAGGAGCTCTTCCTCAGACACGCCAGGCACAAGCCTGCCATGCCCTGGCACTGGCTGTCCCGTCAGCCCAGAACGCTCACCCTCCTGCCACCCTCACGACCCTGCCTTGTGTCCAGGTCTCAGTTCAAATGTGGCCTCATTGGAGAGCGCGCACCCCTTGCCTCCAAATCACAAAGCCACACAACGACATCACAAGTAAAGAAAACGACACGCCAACATCCCCTGTGACGATGGAGGCACGAATCCTCAACGCACTCTCTCCATATGCACGTCTATACACACCAACGTATTAAGAGACCTTCACACCACGACCAAATGGGACACTCCAGGAATGCAAGGTTGGTTTAACATCCGGAAACCAGTTAATGGAATAAACAGTTGTTATATAAGCAAACGCCCAGCTGGCCAGCCTCCTCTCCCGTGGGGCCTTGGAGAACACCCACCACTCTGTTTCTCCTGGATTCAAAGTGAGCTGAGCGTGCGCAGCCCCACCCCAGCTCCTTGGACAAGACCCGTCTGGCCCCACTCCAGAATCCTGCGGGCCAGGCACCCAGAAGGTGCTCCACGAATTCCTATCAGGCGAGACACGTCTCTGCCACTTCACTGCTGGGTGCTGCCCCAGCCTCTGCCACAGGCCTGCCAGCACGCCTCACGCGCCACTGATCTCCCAGGGCCCTACTGAGACTCTCACTGCGGGAGGCCCCACCTGCACACACCTTACGATGCTCCCACCACCCACGGTGGGTACGGCTGATCTCTGCTTGAGAGCAAGTCCTATGTACCAGGTGACCCAGGTTGTGTCCAGCTGACGTTCACTAGACGTCTGTCACTTTCAAGGCTGCAGATGTCCTTTGGTTTTTGTATTTTAGAAAAACCAGTGTATTTGTTTCCGGCCCAAACATTAGTGGGGCCTCTTGGAAAGCCCGTGGGGACCGTGGCAGTTTGTCCACCTGGGTGGGGGTCTCGTCCACAGTTCTGGCTCCTCCTAGCTGCCCAGATCCCGACCCCTCCAGCTTTCCCACCCCAGGGGTCCTCCAACAGCCGTTCTGTACAGTGGGACCCTGTCCTGGATGACCAGGGCATGACCACCTGCAGCCTCCCAGTAATGCAAGCAGGGGATGGGGATACGTTCACGCACGTGCACACGCGCAGGCACGCTGGCCGGCAGCACGTGCTCAGGCCGGGACCCGCACCCTGCTGCTGGGGTGCTCATGCCCTCGGCCCCCACTGGGCACAGATGCAGAGGAAGCTGATGCAGGGGGCGGGAGAACAAAAGCTGAGATGGAAAGATGGGAGTGGGCTGTGTGCTCAGGACCTGGGTGCGGCCCACTGAGCCCGGCTCCCGTCTGCCCCTAACGGCCAGAGGCGCTCCTGCATCTCCTACCGAGAGGGCCTCTCTGCTCCCTCGCGTTGGCTTCTGTGACTCGATACCAGAAGCACCCAGGCGGTGACTCTGCGGCCGTCCGGTGGCCTGGTCGCTGGGCCTGCCCCACCCCCCACCCAGCACCCACCCAGCAGACCCGAGGGGGCCTTTCCTAGATACAGGTCACCCTGCTGGGGGCTCTTGACCCCATCAAGGTCACGGCAAACCAGAACCCTCTATTCACCGGCCTGAGACTCCTGTCCAGTGTGTGTCCTTTGCCGATGGTGACCAACGACCAATCAGATTCTGTCTCTTGAAGAGGAGACAGAAGACCCACAAGGGGGCAGAGTCTGAGCAGGGTGACCCCAGCCCAAAGGCCACGGGCTGGAGCCCCGAGCTGGCAGCAGCCCCGAGCTGGCAGCAGCGTGACTGTCCGTGTTCTCCAAGGCCACCTGCGGGGCCGCTGGAAGTCCCTGACCTCTCACCACAGGCCTGTCCCCATCCCTGAGCTCCTCTGGTCCCCACCACCTGAAAAAGGCCGGACCAAGCCCACAGGGCGGCTTCGGGCAAGGCCGACGGCAGGCGGGATCACTCACGCTTGTCCCGGGCCAGGTGCATTGTGCAGACCCGCCGACGCCCTTGCATCTCCAAAGTGCCCTGGCGTGGGCAACGCATCCCAAGGCCACACCCAACAAGCCCAGAATCCGGAGGGGATGTGGGCTCCTTGGCTCGGAACGGCATGAGGGGAGGGTCTCTCTGAGCCCCAGCCTCCACGTACTTGATGCTTATGGCAAAGCGCTCGGCCTCGGCCGGCCGCTCCCTGATTAGGTAGGTCCCGCTGGCGTGGGATTTGAGCAGGTTGTCGGTCTGCTGCCGTTCCATGTTGCCGGCAAACCTGGAGCAGAGGGGGAAACGGGGCTGTTCACTGACACGTCTCTAATCTGCTGAAGAGGCTAGTGGGACGTGAGGCCACGCCCCCAGGAGGAGGGGCGAGCAGTGGGCGGGGTCTGGAGGAGACGCGCGGGGCGGGGCATCCGCGTGCCGGCTCACAGCCCGCACCGGGAAGGTGGTTGGGGGAGAGACGAGGACCCCAAACAGGCCCCAGGCACTCCACCGCGGCCTCCACCCTCCAGAACCTTGGGCCTGCAGGAGGCGTTCAGGGTAACAAGACATTAGATCAAACTTCCTTTCCAAGTTGTCATTGTTTAATAAGCAGCGATAAACACAAACTGCTCACGTGGGGTTTTGTTTTGTGTCCTAACATACTGGAGACCATCAGCATCTCCATGGGTGGGTTTCCGACACACTGACTGAAAGCTTTTCTCGCCAGCTCTATGGAAATGAAGCCCACCCCGACCCCCAACCTCAAGAACAAAGCCTGACCCCATTTGCACCTCCCTGTGGGGCTGAATTGGGACTTTTGTAAACAGATTCATTAGAAAATTAAAGTTCTGTGCGTTACCCCATCAAGTGAAAATCACAGCTTAAGTCCTCCACCCTCCACATTAGACCCAAATGCAGGGTGAACAGCGTACTGGAACAGACCCAGGGGTCTCAGAGACGCAGATGGGGTGGTGCCAGGGAGGCCAGGGGCACCGAGGGTGCAGGCACGTCACACCACTGGGCACAGGGGTCCCGGGGTGGCTTCAGGGATCAACCCCAAACCGAAAACCACAAGGGCAGACCCTCCCGGGGTCGAGCGGCCCACTGCTCTGGGGCTGCCACAGGGCGAGCTTCTGCAGGGCCATGTCACTGAAGGGCAGTCGTTCTTCCAGGCAGCCGGTGAGCCAGGCGGCAGAGCGATAAAAGCTGGCCCTGAGGCCAACCTGCATCTGAGACTCGTACCTACCGGGTCACCTCCACGTTTTATTCATCAAACAGCCCCACTGCTCTCATCAAGCCCGTATGAGCAGATACAATTATAATCTTGGCCTTAAATATACCTCCTTCTATATACTGGTATTTTAGACAAGGCTCAAGTAAGATCACATTTTAAAAAGGGCTTCATTCTCCCAAATGTTAGAACCTGATGATCTGTTTATAGACGGGGAAACAGCGGCCTCGGGGTAGAGAAGACTCCCCCGGGCTCCCAGCGATTCAGAGCCAAGGAGGGGAGAAGGCGGCCGCGTGCAGCCCGGCTCAGCCGCCCTGGAGACACGAGAGGCAGCCTGGGGCCCCCACTGATCCACTCACCAGGGGTATGCGGTGTAGTCCATATCCCGGGACGGCGGCCGGCTGATGGGCGGCTGGCAGGAGAGAACATTTGGGTTGGTGTATCCCCAGGGACTGTCCACAGAGCAGGGCCCAGCGACGTCCTATCATCAATGACCCCGGGAGCCCAGCACTGGCTACCAGGACGTCTGTGGACTTAGGCCCAGAGCCACTGGCCTGGGAGGTCCCTGAGGGCAGCAGCCAGGACTCACCATCTCTGAGTAGATGCTCAGTGGGTCTGATCGAATGAATGATTGATTGATTGACCGAATGAATGAATATATAGCATCCAACTAACAGTGCAGTGTGAGGGGAAAGAGAGCAACCTGAAGGCGGCTACGACTGCTCAGCAGTGGACAGGAGCACACCCTATACCTCGCGTCCTCTGCAGCAGACGGGCCGCAGCCCCAAGGACAGGCATTGGGCCGGCAGCAGCGCGCTCTGCAGGTGGAGAGCCGCGTCTGCAGCAAACCTCGCGGCTCTCCAGACCCCACGCTGCGCCCTCACTGGCCTGACCTCCCCTCACTGGGCCACAGGCTGGGAAGAGCCTCCTAGACTACCTGTCCCTTCCCCACCCCATTCACCATGCGGATGGGGAAACTGAGGGCCAGGGTTGGGAAGGGACCCTGAGGGACCCCCTGCCCCCCCGCAGGCCACCCAGTGAGTTAGTGACATTTTCTTCCTCTGCTGTCTGGTCCCTTCGACCTGCCAGCAAAGCCTGTCCTAAAATGCTTTCTCCTTCGACTGGGCAATGGCCTGCACAGAAGCACAGGCTGGGCGGTGGGGCCAGAGGCCGGGCAGGTGGACCGGGGCTCCCAGGGGGTCGGGCACCTGCCTGCTGCTCCTTCGGGAGAAGTTTCACTCTCTCACTTTTAGCTCTTTCTGGGGTGTGTGTGGGTGATGCAAGCTCGATGCCTTTTGTAACGGAGCAGACTCTGCGCCACAGAACTCAGATGCAAGAAATGCCATACTGCCTCTTTTCTAAACATCATAACATCCTAGCTCTGAGTCCTTATGTTCGAGGGAGAAGACTTATACAGTCCCTCCAGTGTGGAGAAAGGCGGCTGGTCTTTGGTCCATTGCACCTGCTGCAGAGACGCCCATTTCAGTGTTTTTAAAACAGCCAAGCCCTCCCAAGAGGAGGGATCCCCTGCCCGTTGGCCCTTCATCCCAGCTCCGGGGCGTCCTGAGCGAGGAGACAGCTCTCGGCACCCACGGCACCCTGGCCACCATGCTCCAGAAGCTTCCACGGGAAGTACTCACCCTTCCATCCACTGGACAGGGCTTCACAGACGAGCTAGGGAAGTAACCTGACTTCCTGGTTTGCACCAACCGACCCTGGGAGAGGACAGATGGTCAGGGCCGGCGGGGCCTGGCCTGGCCAGTGGTGGGGGGAGGGGGGATTGTAGTGTGCACTGAGCTTGTCCTGAGGAAGACGAGGGGAGTCCCTGAGGAGCCCATCACAGCACCACCTTCCTGCTGTGACCTCAGCTGACCTCATCACCGTTTGGGGCGCCCTCACTTCACAGATGAGGATACGCTGAGGCCCAGAGAAGTTACACGGCTTGTTCAGCGCTGGGACCAGAGCCCCCTCTCCTGGCTGCTGTGTCCTCTTAGCCACACCGGCCCTCCCCAAACTGTGAGGGGCGTGTGGACCTGGGGGTCTTGATAAAACACAGCACAGCGCGGGAGGGCCTGGGGGCGACTGTTCACTCTCTCTCCACTCGCTCTGCCTGGAAGACCCTCCCAAGGCCTTCCCGGCCCCCACTTTCACATCAGCAAAGTGTCTCTGCAAGGCCACCCAAACCTGATGGCCCTGGCGACAGCTAGGGAGGGGAACTGGGTGGCTGGGGTCAGCGCGGGGCAGACGCTGTACTGCAGACACCTTCTCAGCTCCTGAATCTCCAGTTACATGAGGCCGAGTCTGGTGCGATAAGTTCGTAAGTAAGTACGTGCTGACAAGGACCACCACACAACAACGACGACGGCAGTAACAGTACTTGGACACTTGAACACACGCACTGTAGCATCAGCTCTAAGCAGGTCGCCCTGGTCACCCAGCCTGGTCAAGTGCCCCAGTTTCCTGCGGTACCACATAGACCCCGTGGACGGGGGCGATCTCAGGGCAGCACCAATGGCTCCCCTTTCTCAGGCCTTATAATCAGAAGAGCAGGTTTCATGGCTCAGAGCCGTAAACCATCACAGGGACCTGTGTCCGTGTTTGGGCCTCCTGGGGCAGGGCGGTGGGCGGGTCTCGGTCATGCTGCACCCCCAGTGCTGAGCAAGGTGGTGCTGGCCTGAACTGGGGCAGGTGGGGAGCAGGGTGGGCATGGCATGGCCTGGGCGGGGCCTGGGGTGTGTGTGTGCAGGACACAACCCAGGCAGGAGGCAGACAGGGAAAGGGCTTGGACGCAGGAGGACGATCTCTACCGCGAGGGGATGCTGCGCCCCCACCACCTCAAGGCAAACACCCCAAGACCCGGGCCCTGCTAACAGCCCACTCCTCTCGACCCCGATGGTCTCGCACCCCAAACCCACCCCTGCCTGGAAATGCAGGACCCTCTGCTGCTACCCTGGGGAGTGGGGAGGGGGTAGCCGGGGGCCCGAGACCCTCCCAGGTCCAGGACCCACCTCCCACCACTGAGACTCAGGGTCGCCTCTCAGTAGCTCAATCACATCACCCGTCTGGAAGGTCAGCACCGGCTTCCCGGGGGGAGCAGGGTTGCCATGGTAATTCTGCACGGCCACCATCTTGGGACCTGCGAAGGACAGGGCAGGAGAGGGCGTGGCTCGGTGGCTCCGTCCTGGTGGCAGCCCACCCCAGGCTGACCTTGACCTCTCAGGGCTCTTGGCAGCGGGCCATGGGCCTGTATCGCCCCTCCCTAAATTCTTCCCGTAAGGCTCCCACGTCCCTTTGTTACATATCATAAGTAAACTATTTATGAGATTAACAGATTCAGGGTATCACTGCAGTAACGGCAACTTATTTTTAAAGAGTGCTTTCTGTGCCGTCATCCAAACATCTTTCGAATCTGTGACTAAGAGTCAGCAGCGTGGAGTAGAAGACGGGGCATCCATCCTGTTAGAGGTGGGGGCCGGGTCAGCGACCTGCCAAGGCCACACGGCCACTCCGGGGCAGCCCTGGGCTGACGGGGGGGCCCGCCTGAGCCCCCCCAAAACTTGTAGGCCTCTCCTAGACCGTGCTCTGCTCTGACCGGCCCAGCCCTGCATGGGCCGCGTCTGCCAGGCCTGGTTCCTGAAGCCGGTGCCCCAGAGGCAGCAGGATGGTTTTTGTTTTCTGTTTTCATGATTAGGTTGGACTCTGTCCGCAGCTCGGGCTGCCTCATACCTGGTGCCTTCAGTTCTCCTGCTACCCAACGCAGAGCAAGGGGGACGTGGGGGGACGGAGAAAATGGTAAAGCGACAGCAGCAGTGTCCCAGAGTCTGCTCTGCTCGGGGTCTCCGGGCTGCAGCTCAGGGCTTCTCCTGGGCTGAAGGGACCCTGACTCTCTGCAGGCTGGGCCCTGGCCCCATGCCTGGCGCTGCGTCATCAAAAACTAAGGAAGCTCCCAGGGGAAGTGGCCGTGGAGGTGGGAAGGAGATGGGGCCGGAGGGCAGCACACACCCTGGGAGCCCGGAGCCAGGTGGCAGACACCGCGGCCAGGCCCAGGCTCGGCTCCCAGGATGACTGCTGACAAGGACGGTACCAGAGAAGACCCAAGTCCCACAGACTCACCTGGCCCCGCTCCAGAGGTGTCCTGTGAGAGCAAGGACAGAGGACAGTGAGGAGGGAAGGCTGCCCAAGCATCCCACAGCCCCTGCCCCCCACACCCAGAGGGAAGGGTCAAGGCAGGAAGCAGGGAGGAGGCCAGGGACACGTCCTGAGCGCCCACGGACATTTGTGATGGTGACAACCTAGTTCCCTGTGTGACACGATACTTACTTACACCCTCCACCTTTGTACCCCTCCGCAGCCCTGGGACATCCGTCCTCTTCCCCTCCCATCCCTTACCAGTAACTCCCACCTCCTCCAGGAAGCCTGCCCTGACCACCCCAGCCCAGGGCCTCCCTGCTCAAAGCTTGGGGTTTGTCTCTCTGTCTGGGACGTGTCCTGCTGCATACACTAAATGTTCTGTCTTCCCTCCTCTTTGAGTGCATCTCTGTAGCCCACGCAGGGCCCAGTAAGAGCCCGTTACGTGTTGGTTAATTTGACTGGACCCCCACGGCTGGGGAGAGAAATGACGTCCACAACCCATAAGTGAATTCAGTGACTCCGTCCCCAAGTCAGCTGAAGAGAGGGCTCTACGTCTATCAGGATGGGGGGCAGGTGGGCAGATGCCTGTCACAGAGCTGGGGACCCAGAGCCGCCAGCAGGCCACTGGGCAGGTGGGACAGGTGGGCAGCCGGGCAGGGGGAAAGCTACCAGGGCCCAGGAGGCCATGCACAGGGACCCATTTCTACTGACGACCACGAAGGAAAACAAAGGCCCCTCATAACCAACAGGGGCTCTGCAAGCCGGCCTGGCCCCAGAGCGTGAGGGCCGGAACGGTTGGGTCTTTCTGGCTCCAGGCACGGGGCGGCGTAGGGTGCAGGGCAGTGGGAAGGGAATGGTTTGGGGGACTCACCAGGTCTGCAGGAGAACCTGAAAAGGAAGCACATCGGGGTCAGAGCCGCTGGGCGCGCCCGAGTGTGTGAGCGAGGTGAGCTCCAAGGCCCTTCCTTTCAGACCTGGATTACAGACACGCGTGCTTGGTGACCGCAAAAATCTCTCGACTACTTCTGATGGCGACTTCTGAGCTCTGGTTTTAGGGGCCCCACGGGAGAACACACACTGGGTATCAGACCCAATGGCAAACAGGTTTTCCTGCATGAGCCAACTCTGCTCCAACGGCAGCAACTGCCTGATCACTGGACAGAACCTGGGCTCAAAGGGAAGGTTTCCACAGTTGATTAGTGATGCCTGCCGTGGGCAAATGACAGAAGACGTGGTAGTCGTGCTACTCTATTTGTCAGCACCTCGGACACGGGACACCTCAGCTCTGTCAGATGGAAGGCAAACATTCTAAAGATTCTTTCTGCCTGCCCTGGGGCGACCCAAGGGGAGGACACAGCTCCAGGCTGGGGCCCCTGGTCATCTGACAAGCTGAGCTGCCACTCCACCACCAGACAAAACAAGCACCACAAGGGCTAACGTGTGGCTGATGTGACTTCAACACCGTCTAACACACGCACAGTCGCAGCCTGCTTTGGGCAGACATAGGATCCGACAGACCCTGCAGAACAGAGGCTACAGGCGTCAGGCATCAGGCACGTGCCCTTGGGGGAATCACACGCTCCTTAAAATAAAACCAGGTGCCCACCACGGGCTCTCAGTGACACGGGGAGGGTGCTGATGACTTCAGCTTTCGAAAGATGTGCAATTGCCTAACTGGTAAAGCCTCGATTATACACATCATGAAAAACACAAAAACCTAAAAAGAGATGGGGGACGGGGGCGGGGGCATTGCAAAAAAGGGAGAAGGCAGGTGATGGCTAACGGCAGGTGTTTTTGCCTGGCGTGACAAAAACCAGGATCCCTTTCATCTCCCTTACTTTTCTCTATATCTTCTATGGGAAATGGTTATTTAATAATCAGGGAAAAGGAAACAGAAAGATTATTTAAAAATAAGAAAACTTGGGCTTCCCTGGTGGCGCAGGGGTTGAGAGTCCGCCTGCCGATGCAGGGGACACGGGTTTGTGCACCGATCCGGGAAGATCCCACATGCCGCGGAGCGGCTGGGCCCATGAGCCACGGCCGCTGAGCCTGCGCGTCCGGAGCCTGTGCTCCGCAGCGGGAGAGGCCACAACAGTGAGAGGCCCGTGTACCAAAAAAAAAAAAAAAAAAAAAAAAAAAAGAAAACTTGACAGGAAATACACCAGAATATCACCTTTGGTTATTTCTTAATCTGTTCATAAGTGATAATTATTTTCTTCTTTATTTCATTTCTCCTCTTTTTTTTCCTCTAAGTTTTTGATAAAGAAGTATGTTACTTTTAAGATCAGGAAAAAAATTTCAGAAGAAATGAACTGTCCAGTCGCTTGCCACAAAGGACACATGGCCACAAGAGGGCGGTAGCCATGGGCGAAGCTGAAAAGCTGCGTCGGGGCCAGTCGGGGCCGGCAGCATCCTCTAGCCCGGAGGAGACTGGCAGGGTCGCTGAACTTCCGCCGGGCCAGAGTGGGCTGCATCGGGCGGGCGTTGGTGGGGACGAGGGGGTCTGGGCTGACCTGTCGGACCCTCCTCCCAGATCAGGGCACTGGACCAGCAGTCACAGTAAATGAGGAATTAACAAACTCTCCTACTCTCGGGGGACAAGCAGGCCCGGCATGTTTCCTTGTCTACCTGGAGCGTGGTTAACCCGCTCTGAGCACAGCTGCCCTGAGTGTGGATGTCAGCAGAACAGCCCCATTTCACGGGGATGTGGGAGCATCTGGGCCCCATGAAGCAGGGCGAGCAGTGTGGTGCTTGACGGGTGCCCCACGCCCGGATCCAGAGCTCAGCCAGCCCCTGACCGTGGCGGCTTTGAAACCTTTCAGAACCATCTCAGGCTCTCCGGCGGCCCGTCCAGCTGCTCTAGGCTGGGCCCTCCCCCAACTCATCCCCCAAACCAAGACGATTGATAGGAGCCTCAGGCTTCCCCCATCTGAGGCAAAGGGGAGCACAGTAGATGCCGTGCACGCACGTGAACCGTCTACAAACAGGGCTGTCGCTAAAGAGGGCCGGGCCTCTCCAGGGCGGGGGAACCCAGGGGTGAGGTGTTCCTCTGTGACCGGAAACCTCCATGCAACTGCCAGGAATGTCCTGTGCCCTCTGCAGGGTGGAGATTCTAGACGCTTACAACTGCAGCGCGGCAGCGGGTGCCCAAGAGGCCGAGAGAAGCCAGCCAGTATGCAGTTAGGAGGAGGGCTTTGCCATGGAATGCCCGCTCCCGCTCCGGCTGGGCCTTTTGACCCAGTGTGACCCAGGGCCGGCGTCCTCCCCTCTCTGAGCCTCTGTTTCCTCATCTGGTCCCTGCCCCGTGGGGTCACCACGGCAGGAAAGGAGAATGTGGAAACACCGCCAGAGCCGGCAGCTGCGAGGGATGACAGGACCCGCGGCTCGGGGTGTGTCGTGGGACCCTGAGGACCAGCCCCCAGGGCCCGTGCCCCACGGGGAGGGCGGGGATGGGTACTCACTGATCTTGCAGGGAGGGGTCACCTCCAGGCACTCCTTGTGTGCCCCGACGCCACACTTGGTGCACAGGTAACCCTGGTAGAAGGTGCCTCTGCGCCGGGGTGGGAGGGGGAAGGGGCAGGAGGTGAGGTGGACCACCAGACCCACCTTGCCTTCTGCCCCTCAGGGCATCACCCCTAAAAGCCCTGGGGCCCAGGACCCCCGCCCCGATGCGCAACCTGGCTCTGCCATCCCCACAGGACGGGGACAGGCACCTCCCCTCCCGGCTGGATCCCAAACGTCCGAGGGCCGGCTGCCTCCCACACGATGGGATGTCTCCCCGGGTCCCTGGGCCCCAGCACAGCGCTGGCCTAGGGGTGCTGGGCGGTGATGGGGGCACAGGAGGGAGGCAGCAGCGGGCCCCCTCGGGGGCCGGGAGACGGCCTCACCTGAGGAACATCCTGCACGCTCTGCAGTTGGTGGTCTTGTCAAACGTGTACATCTGGAAGCTGTGCTGGTTGGCGGTGGCTTTGTCGGGCTTGATGTTTGACCTGATGGGAGGGAAAGCGGGCTCCAGGTTCCCTGAGCCCCCCCGAAACGGAAGCCGCCAAACCAGCCGGGCTCTGGAACGCGGCCGGGAGTCAGGAGGCCGGGACTCAGAGCCAGGATCTGCCCCGACCCCCGGGCAGACCCGAGGGGCCCTGACACCCCGGGGAGGATGAAGGGTCCGAGTGGGAGCTTTCGAGAACCTTCTGGGGTGATGGTTAAGAGCTGTATCTGGACAGGGCTTGGGTGTGGGCCGGTGCAAGCGTTTGTCGTGACTCAGCAAACCGCACCCAGGATGTCACTGTGCGCGAGCCTGAGATATAAAGATCTAAACAAATCGTGACTTCATGACGGGCACCCTCACTCGCACTGATGTCTGCAATTCACTACGACACGTCCGCTAGCAGACGGCACCAGGACTGGGGGGACGGCATGTGACAGAGGACAGCACAAGACGTGAACGGAGCAGGCCGGGCATTTACCGTGACGTTCTTTCAACTTGGATTAACGCTTGAAAATTTTCATGAGAACGGTGGGGAGAAAATTACAACCCCTAGAAAGCCTTGGGGCCCACCGCCTGGCCGCCATCTATTCTGATGTGTCCCACGCGGGACCCCGTTGGATCCTCCCAATAATCCCGGAACCTGGACCCTCCCTTCACGTGCATTTCACCAGGAGGAAGAGGCCAGGGAGGTGAGTGCACCTGCCCGGAGGCCCCAGGACCTGCCACCCTGGCCTCAAGGTCTGATGTGGCCAGGCACCCCCACGATCACCTTTCTCTGTTGGGCTAACTGGGGCTCCTCCTAGATTTCATGGAAAAACAGCTCTGGGGCTTTTCCCCAAAGGTGACAACCCACCGGCCTGTAAGACCCAGGGATCTGGGTCACCGTGAGTCCATCTGGCACCATGGCCATTCCTGGCCACTCGCTGCCCTGCCGGTCAAGTGTGGGAGGCTCGGCCCCAGGGGGAGGGCCCTCTGGCCACTGTAGATTAAAGAGCGAGGCTGCCACGCGGGGGGCAGGGGCTGGCATCCTGGGGGGGCGGGTTCCCCGAGAAAGATCCACGTGGCCTCCCACCCGCGCCGCTGCCACGGCGGACTCACATGGCCATCTCAAACTGTTCCGTCCACTTCCTCTTCATGTCTTCCGTCTTGCAGAAAAACTGGAAGCCTTGCTTGCCTTGAAGGTGAATTAGATAGAAACCGTAGGACCACTGTGGGAGGAGACAGGGGACACACTTGCAACGGGCATGGCTAGGTGCACACAGGTGCACGGGCACATGTGCAGGCACACTCGTGCCCGGGCCTGTACGTGCACACGTGTGTAAGTGTATGCAGCCTCTAACGAGATGTCCTGGGACCCACCTCCGACCCCCTCCGAGGTGCACCCTCAACTGAGGTCTCTGCGGCTTAGCCCAGGCCACCTCTAATGACCTGCGTTGAGGCGTTCACCTGGGGCCCCCTCCAGGACGCCAGCCCACCCACTTTCATTTCCTAAATGTGATGCCAAAAAAGCTCACTGGTCTGAATTAGAACAACAGAAAAAAAACAAAAAAGGCAGAGGAGGCCATGGGCCTGGGGAGCTGCAGCAAAGTCAGCCCAGCCTTCCCACCCCTCAGCCACCACCAGGCCCGGCTATCGCTCGGGGCTTCCAAGGGGCCCAGGAAGAAGCGTCTGGGAAGTCTGAGCCCATCTGTGTTAGGAAAGGTGGAGGGAAAAAGGAAAAGAGGGAAGGAGAGAGGAAAAGAAGAAAGAGGACAAAGGGCGGCAGAGAGAGAACAGGCCAAACCCCAGTGGCTCTGAAACCACCCAGGTCCTTAACCTCCAGGGACTGGGAGTGGGTGGGGCAGGCGGGAGGGGGGGTTTCACTTGACACCCTTTGCAGCCGGCAAATCTGTTATCACAAATACATGTCTCCTCTTAATCCAGACACTGAGGGGAGGAAGGAGGAGAACGCCGGGAACCCAGCCCGGCTCAGGCCCACCCGGCTCCCCAGACCCCGCTCCCAACTCAGGGAGGAAGTGCTGGCATCGGGCCCGGAGGTGAGGAAGGTGGCGAGCACGTGAGCGCCAGGGGCTTACCATTTTCCCGTGAGACTAGGAAGCGCGAGGAGAGGAAAGGAAAAGGGGAGACGAGATCATCAAGAGGCCTGGCCCAGCCCCGCGGTGGGCGCCGCAACCCAGGACACTGCCCACTGCCAAGTGCCCCAGGATGGGACCACCACGGCAAGGGCCTTCCTCCCACAGGGGTAGGTGCCGGGGCGGAACCTGGGGGGCTTCGTCTTCAGCCCTGAGCCTGGGAGGTGGCCTCAGGTCACTGCTTCTGGGGCCCCAGTGGCCTGTTTTGGACATCAGGGCTAGGCAGGTCACCCCCAGTAGCTCTTCCAGGTGGCACCTGCATTCTACCTGTTAGCTTGGGAGTCCAGCCTCTTTTAGCACTTTGGTTCCTCGCACCCACACCCAGCCCAGGGCTGCACACCATAGGTACTCAAGCACTGGGTGCAGAAGCAGGACTGAACCAGAGAGCACGGCAGCCCCAACTCAGCATCCATCGCACCACCCACAGCATCCACGGCCCCACCCCCAGCAGCCATGGCCCCACCCCCAGCAGCCATGGCCCCTCCCTCACCAGTCATGGCCCCACCCCCAGCAGCCATGGCCCCACCCCCAGCAGCCATGGCCTCACCCTCCAACAGCCATGGCCCCTCCCTCACCAGTCATGGCCCCACCCCCAGCAGCCATGGCCCCACCCCAGGAGCCATGGCCCCACCCCAGCAGCCATGGCCCCACCCCCAGCAGCCATGGCCTCACCCTCCAACAGCCATGGCCCCTCCCTCACCAGTCATGGCCCCACCCCCAGCAGCCATGGCCCCACCCCTAGCAGTCATGGCCCCACCCCCAGCAGCCATGGCCCCACCCCCAGCAGCCACAGCCCACTGGCTGGACATCAGAGCCCCATGAGCCACAGCAAGGCCCACCCGGTGCCCTCCTCCAAAGCGGGAGGGCAGGGGAGGGGCAGGAGGGCCTGCTTGCCGCAGGGGGCCACATGCGCCAGGCGGCCAAGGTCTAAGGCTGGGCTCTCACCAGCGGCCTCGGGCCACACCCCTCAGCGCAGGGTCCTCACTGGGGGGCTGCGATCCGGATCGTGCCCCTCCGACCCCCGCCAGGAAAGACTCAGACAAAAGGCCGCGGGGGGGGCGGTGCCGGGCCCAGCACAGAGCGGGTGGAGGCCAGCCCACCTGACCACGCTTTCTCTAGCCACCCCACAACTCCTCCCTCGGGGGGGGTCGGTGCCTGCCCCGCACCGGGCGGCCCAGCCTAGAAGCCCCTCTGTCACCACCGGGAAGCCGGGGCTCACCTTCTTGACGTCCTTGTTGTTCATGGGGTCGTCGGTCATCTTGTGGAAAAGCAGCTCGATGATCTCCTTCAGCTCGTAGCTGTCGCCCCTCCTCTTGCACACAATGACCGCCTTGTCAAACAGGAACAGGTACCTGGCCCAACAGCGCGGCCACAGGGGCCCGTCAGCGTGGCCACAGGGGCCCGACAGCGTGGCCACAGGGGCCCGTCAGCGCGGCCACCAGGGGCCCAACAGCACGGCCACCAGGGGCCCGACAGCACGGCCACCAGAGGCCCATCAGTGCGGCCACCAGGGGCCCGACAGTGCAGCCAACGCAGCGGGGTCGGAGGCCGCGGGACGGCTGTGGGCGCCCGGGTGGGCAGCGCGAGGGCTGCTCCCTCCCCAAGCCTGAGCCCTCCCCCGGCCTGGCCCGCCCGGCCGACTCTGACCCCTCAGCCCAGCCTTGGATCCTCCACGCCCCTGCCCCCGCTGGCCTTCCCCACAGCACTGGCCCCTGCCGGTCACTGCCCATTTACACGTCCATCCCCCACGGGATTAGGAGCCGCGTGGGGCAGGGCTCACGTCTTCTGTGACCCCGGCCACAGCCCCAGGCCTTGGACGCAGCAGGTGTGCGTGGAGGACTGAACAAGCTGGGGCCATGCCAGCTCCCCGGGAGCTTTCGCCTCGCCCGCCCGCACTCCCGCCCAGTCCTTTGGCAAACAGCTCACACGGCCGCTCCCAGGAGCCCGTGCGCTCGCAGGCCGCGCCTCTGGCTGTCCCCCAGCCCGGCCGGTCCAGTGCCGGCCGCAGGCAGGGCAGCCCCACGGGCGTGGCAGCCACTGGCCGTCGCTCTCACCGGGAAGGAAGGAAGCAATTAAAAAGGCGCAACCCAAAGCCAAGTGCACGTGAAAAGCTGTTTCCAGGCCCGCCGGGGAGCGGGGCGCCCTGGAGCGGCGTGTCTGACTCGGGTGCCACCCAGCCCGGCGCCCGCTCCGCTCACCTGTCTTGCTTGGTGTGGTTCACTATGGACCGGACCTTCAGCTCCCCGTCGATCTTTGGTCTCCCAAATTCCTCCAGTTTCACTTGCTGGGAAAGAAAGGGCAAGGCCGTTAGTCCCGGTGCCAGAGCAAGTGCCCTACGTGGAGAGAAACGCAGGTGGGCACGCGTCCGGGGCGGCCGTTTTCCGCTGAAACCAAAGGCGGGAGCGACGTGAGACGAGCCCCCCTGGTTCCCGGCGGGTGCTGGGGACAGAAGGGAGGAACTGGGCCTGCAGACTCTGCGCCCCACAGACCCGGCCCTGCTGAGGACGCCCTCCAGCTCTGCGGCAACAAAGGGCGATTGATGGTGTGGGTCAGTTAGCAGGCCACTGTCATCATGGAGCCAGAGCGGGAACCTGGTGGGAAACGCCAGACGCCTGACCCCGAGAAACCAAATTAAACAGAGAACAAACAGCGCTTCTCAGAGAGAGGGTGGGCAGGGCGCGGGGGTCCTGCCGATGGTTCATCTACCACAGGAAGAGCCTTCGAGCTGAACCCCCTCTCTGGTTTGCAAGGATTTCATTTTTGTTTTCTGCCTGGTTTGCATCTCTGCTCTGCTCTGATTCAGAGAGACGTCTCTGGGCACGTTCCCTGTGCGGTCTATGCGGACAGAACAGGAAGGAGAGGATGCCGCAAAACGCTATCAGGCCAGCCCGCCTGGCGCTACGACGGGGGCTCTCAGCATCTTCTTTCAGGGTTTTCTGCATTTTCCAGGAGCTGCCAGAGCAAAACGAAGGGCGCAGCGTGGGTGTCACCCAGGGTGGGACCAGCACCTGCTTTGTGACTCAGGGCCTCTGTGTCTCATCTCCAAAGGGCGGAAAGAAAGGTACCAGCTCCACCTGCTGGGATGGGGTCCGGAGAAAACCACACGGCTGGGCAGAGCAGGGCGCCCGGCCCACAGGAGCGCTCCACACCTGCTCCCCTGCTGCTTAACTTTTGTCATTTGATGCGCAAGAATTAGTCGTATGTAAAAACTTAAAAAAAAAAAGTCTTCTTGTCACAAAAGTAGTGCCCATCCATCCATCGTAGAGCGCGTAGAAAACATCCAACGCTCAACGAGGGGAAAACCAACAGCCCCAGGCCCCACCAGGCACTAACACCACCGCTAACAGCCTGGGGCACAGCCATCCTTAACCTCCTCTGCCCTCAGAAAGGAAAGAAAAACGGGGTCGGGTCATAATGCTGTTCGGCGACTTCTTTTTTCTTTGCTGGACGACACATTACGATTGTCTTCACGCCACGTGCCTGTACCACAGTCCTGTTTGGGCTCTTCTGACTCTGGTCGGGGAGGACCAGACAAATGGGCACCAGGTGTCAGCCTGGGCATGCGGGGCTTCCTTTGCAAAAGCTTCTGTGCTGATTTGCTTTTGACAGACACTCACCCGGACTCTGAAAGTTCAGGGACCAGAGAGTGAAAATGCATGTAAACCAGCGGTCCTCAGCCAGCGCTGATTCTGTACCCAGGGGACATCTCGTGATGTCGGGAGTTGTATCTGGTGGCCATGACCTGGGCCCCTGAAGGGTGGGGATGCTACCAGCATCTAGCGGACAGAGTCCAGGGGTGCAGCTCAACATCTCACAATGCACAGGACAGGCCCCGCGACAGAGAATGTTCCAGCCCCAAGTGTCAACAGTGCCGAGGCGGAGAAACCCTGTTTAGACCTTCAGCAGATCAGCGAGAGGCTGGTACCGGTTGGCACAGGTGGGGAGGTGCCTGCTTCCTGGGGTGGCCCATCTCCTCGCCCCGCAGGACCCAGTGGTTCACCCAACGCCCCAAGGCTGAGCCTCTGATGGACCAGGATGAGGATAAGGTCCCATGAGGTGTCAGCCCTGCCTGCTAGAGGTCAAGGGGGAGGGGAGAACTCAAGGGCAACTCCTGGGCAGGGTGACCAAACCCTCTCTATTGTCCCTCATGGGGACAGGAGATGTGGGTGAGCCAGGGGTCCCAGAGTGTTAGGAGCCTCGTGCTCCCCTGGGCGCCGCACTCTCCTCTTGGACCCAAGGGAGTCCCGGTCCAGGCCAGGGAGGGAGGGCAGAGCAGGGCAGTCAATACCGTTCCCCTCCTCGGGCCCTCAGCCAGTGGCCACCTTTGTGCACAGGGCCCCTGGGCTGGTCTCGGTGCACAGCCTGGCAGTGCGAGGTCAGCCTCCGCTGCAGAAGCTGCTCCACCCTCTCGGCGGAGAGCGCTCAGCACGGCTGCACGTGCCTCCACGACCCGGACGGATGGAGCGTGTGGTCGCCCTTCCACTTATTCGATGCTGAGACTGTGAAAGTCATTTTTTTTTTTGCGGTACGCGGGCCTCTCACTGTTGTGGCCTCTCCCGTTGCGGAGCACAGGCTCCGGACGCGCAGGCTCAGCGGCCATGGCTCACGGGCCCAGCCGCTCCGCGGCACGTGGGATCTTCCCGGACCGGGGCACGAACCCACGTCCCCTGCATCGGCAGGCGGACTCCCAACCACTGAGCCACCAGGGAAGCCCTGAAAGTCATTTTTTAAAACACGCATATATGCCCGTGACTGTCTCCGCTCCCGGGGAGCCGGCGCACTTACCAGGTTCTCTATGGAACTCTGAAACTCGCCGATTTTCTTCAGGGTCTCTTTGTCCCGTTTGACTTCGTTGATGTACATCGCCAGGTCCTGGGACACAACAGAGGCGGGGAGCGTGTCAGCAGGCCCACGCTGGGCGTGAGGGGCTCAGCCACGAACCCCACGGCACCGTGCAAGGGCTGGGCATCTCCAAAGCACCGTCCACCGTCCCCAGAGGTGGCTGGCCCTCGAAATGACCGCAGGGGTGAGAAGCGTCACCCCACTTGACAAACGAGGCAGAAAAGCTGCGCCCCATTGGTGCGCCAGGAAATCCCTCCTCCTAGAGCAGCTCCCTTCTACCCCGTCCCTCGGCCACCTTCTAGGTCAGAGCAGAAGGAAAACAACCAGGTCGACCTGGACCAGCCAGTTCTTGGCCCTACAGAGCCTCCGCGGAACGAGGGCGACCCCACCGCGCAGCCCGGCTACCCACACGCTGCAGTCTCCTGCTGGCCGCCAGGGGGCACTGCCCACCGCGATCCAGAGGGCCCAGCGGGACAAACACCCAGAGCCCAGGGTGGAGCCCCTGAGCCAGGCGGTGGGTAGGGGGTGAGAGCTGGTTCCAGCCTCCCCTCCAGTGCCCCCTGCCCGTCCACACAGGGAGCCCACTGGCCAGGCAGAATCGGAGACCCCGAGGCAGGAACATTACAAGATGGGCCTGGTGAGCCGTGCAACCGCCGGGGCCTCCATGGCACAGGCCACAGAGTTCGCACAGGACTTGGAGTAAAGAGGACAGGCTGCTTAGAGAAGCTCCAGAAACAGACGGCCGAGCAGTGGGGGGACAGAAGCCAGAGAGGGGGCGATCCCCCTGGGAAGGTCACTTCGCAAAGATGGAGGAGGCACAGGACGTTGCCAGGTGACAAGGACAGGTTCAGCCCAAACCAACACACAGGTGGGGAAGAACGGACACCTTCAGGGGCCTGAGCGTGGCCAAGCCTGCCTGGAAGGTGGGGCATTAGGGGTAAATACAACTGCAAAGCCAGCACAGCTCTGGAGGCCTGTGTGCCGGGGGGAGGGTCTGGGCCTGACTCAGCAGGCAGTGGGGAGCCACTGAAGGGTTCTAAGAGGGGCAGGGACGTGAGCTGGGCTCTCCTTCCGGGGGCTGAGCTGCAAAGTGGGCTTCCGTGGACAGAGGGAGGAGGGGAGAGGTGCCGTGCCTGGGTGGAGTGGGCATTTCAGAAGCAGATGCCACACACTGGGCAGCAGGCAGGGGAGGGCCAGGTGGCCCAGCACTGGGTCCAGTGCCTGGACTCTGGCGACAGTATGGCAGACGGTCAGGGAAGCGAGAGGAAGGGAGGCCTGGGGGTGGGTGTGGGGTCACTGTGGGCCAGGGGAGGCTAGAGAAGAGAATCCTTAGGGAAGCCCCCTCCACCCGCCCCCTCTGCCCCTGGTGGGTCCCATCCACCGCCCTGCCCCTGCTCCGCCTCTTGCCGTCCCAGGAAGATCTACATCTCCGATCACCGAGGTAAGGTTGTTAGCGAGCCCAGGTCCAGTCAAAGAGGGCGGGCACGGCCCATGAAGCCCCAGGCTGGCCCGGCCTCTCCCCTGCCTCGGTTTACCCACCTGCATGGCCTCCAGCGCTTCTTTGAGCTGCTGCCTCTCGGGCCGGTCGGTGGAATGGCTCAGGAGTTCCTGGAGGGGGTGGTGAGGCGTGGGTGACCACTCAGGGGTCCCCACCAGGCCCCGGGTGTGCAGACAGAGCCAGGCCCTCGGGACAAAGCCCCACCCCCACCCCCCCGGCTCTGGTCCAGCCGCCCAACTCCAGCAGACAGACAGCGAGTCCTCCTCCAGGGGACACACGGCTTCGAGGCGAGGTGTCTCCAACGCTTGTGGATAACGGGGGGAACGTTAAGACAGCACAAAGCCAGGGGCCGCGCTAACAGGTAACCTGCTGATTCACTAAAGAGCCTTGGCTGGCATCTCACAGAAACCACTGTCTCCCGCGCAGATCTGTCTGTCCCGAAGGACTTCCTGTTTCCGTGGCCACCAGGAAGCTCAGGGACTGGGTTAGGAGACGAGCCCCAGGAGCTCTTACTTCTGGCCTGAGGGTGCTTTTCTGTCTCTCTCGGCTTTTCTCTTCTCTTACCGATTTAGATCATAATTTTCCTTGCGTACTAACTGACAAATATTCTTAATACGTACAAACACTGCGTAGCTCCCGGCACTGATTTTGCAGTTTTTAGGCGCTAAGCACGGGCTGCCTGACTCTATGCGCTTGTTCACTTGTCACCCTGGCCTGTCTGTGGGCTCCACCCCACGCCCCGGGGGCTGCCGGGTCCTGACCCCCTCCAGCCGGTCTCACCTTGAGGAGCAGGTGGTATTTGAGCACCCTCTGCATGGGGACCACCAGCAGGTCCTGCAGCTTGAACTTCCCGTCCTGGACCTTCAGGGTGCATTCCTGGGCGTCGGGGGAGCAGCGGGTGGATTTAGAGCGTCCTTGCCCGGGCACACCGGACCCCAACACTCCCATCCCCGGCCTGGGGACGGGGGCAGACCCAAGCCCTGCACTGGGGCCCAGGTGTCTGGTCTTCCTCCGGTCCGGCTCCCAGAGACCGCCCCCCCCAAACCAGGCGTGTGCAGAGGGGTGGGCTTCACAGCAGGCGGGCAGGGGCCCTGCTGCCTCTCATAGCCTCAGGGGTCTGCAGTGGCCACATGGGGGGGATTCTGGGTGACGCCTGGTCTGGGGTCTACCAGAGAGACCCTGGGGGAGGCCAGCTCACACTAACGGGGGCACCGCCCGCAGGAACCAGGGGCTCCCCACGGGTTGCCTGGACACACGAGGGCATCGGGCCTCTCCAAGGGGTGAGTCACCCCCAGCACTGCCGGAGCAAAGGGACGTGCCACCAGGGCTCACCCTGGGAACCGTGTGACCGGCCAGATACAACATGGGAAGCCCAGCCTCTGGGGGGACGACACGGCAGGGGTGGGAGGCTCCCAGCAGAGGTCCGTCACCTGGGGCCCCCATGGGGTCCCGATAGGCCAGGGCCAGGGCTCAGTCACTCAGCCGGATCTGGTCCGGGGTCCTGCCACAGTGGCACCCAGGCTGGGCCCTGGCCTGGGACGGTGACCTCTCCCTGCCCACTCTCAACCCCAACAAAATGCAAAGGAGAAAAAACCACCTGCCAAAAACATCTACAAAAAACGTCCCATCACTGCCCCGCCCCCAGCTTCCCATGGAACGGGTAAGAGGCCAGGGAGCTGGAAGCTCGGACATGGCAAGTACCTCGACTTTCTGTCTGAAGTCCTCCCTGCCGGCCAGGAGCTGGCTCAGCGTGCTCTGCGCGTGCTCCATGCGGCTGCAGTACTCCCCGTAGATCAGGAGCCTGGACGGCGGACACACACACACACACACTGGGTGTGAGCCCGAGCCGTGTTCACGTCAGGCTGTGAGCACAGCAAGCAGCTCCCCCCCGACAGCTCCTCACGTGTTCACACATTTAACGGTTTCGTTCTTTCCATGAGGCTGCTTTCCTTCCCCGCCCTGCCCAGGAGGAGGGCTGCCAGCCGTGGGGAGGGAGGGGCACCCTGCCTTCCCCGAACCCCAGGAGGCCCTCTTCTGTGGTTCTGTTCCAGGTCAGGACCGGGTTTGGGGGTGCCGCCCTCAGCCCCCCATCCCGCCCCTGGAAAGGGCCAAAGCCAGACAGAAGCCCCTGCCTCCCCAGGCAACTCACGCTGCAGTCCACAGGCAGTGAGCACCCAGGCCCAGCCCGGCTCTGTGCTCGCCCTGGGGGGCCGGCCCCTGAGCTGACATTTCGAGGTGCGGGGACCCCGCGGGCCAGCCCTTGTTGCTGCCACATGGCACTGATGGTCTGTGCCTGAGTTCCAGCCACCGGCCTCTCAGGGCAGGGTGACGTCAGCCCCCGTCACCTGGGAGACGGGGGTGCTGGGAGGGGCCGGGGATCCAGGGAAGATGCGGGGTGCAGAGGGGGAGAAGGAGCTCCCTCTAACCCAGCCCCGTCTCCCCCGCTTCCGGCCTCCCCCGCGCCCACTGCCTGCCTGCCGTCCTGCTTCTCTCCTAACACCCTCTGCTTTGCTCCCCACCACGATCCTCCAGGGCCGACAGGCCAGAGCCCCCGGCACCGGGGCCCAGCGCTCTCAGGGCCTTGGGTTACTGGCCTGAAACCTCATCTTTCAAAATCTTGTCACCCGACTACCGAGCAGGCCCCTGGAGAAGGACCAGGCAGGTGACGTCGTTGGCTGCAAGTCACCACCTCTGGGAGCCACCAGGGCCAGGAGCTTCACGCACAGCGTCGCGACCCTTTAACCCACTTGTAGAGGTGGGGGTGGTGAGCCCCACTCTCCAGTGGGGAAACCAAGGCCTCAGTGAACTTGCTAAGAGTCACCAGCTAATAAAGGGCGACACCAGGAGGCCGGGCCCCGCACATGACGTTCCAGGGACGCCCTGCCAGACACAGGTTACGCTGTGTGTCAGCAAACGTCTGGAGGCCTCTCCCAGCCCAGCTCTGGGAAGCTCGGGTGAAGATGATGTCAGGCCCATTTCTCTGTCCTCCGCGGACGCTGCTGCACCCTGGGGTACCTGGCGAGGCGCTGCGGGTAGGCAGTCAAGGCCTGTTGCTGGCTTCACTTTGGAGGAGATGACACTGCATCCCGCTGGGTCTGTGGGACTCCCCAGGCTCTCCCTGCACGGCCCGAGGGACCCGCGGTGACCACACCTGGGCCGGGCATCCAGCACCCCGGCTCTGCCACGTGAGCCCCCGGGCAGGTCTCCCCTCCCTGGGGCCTTGGGGGTTTGGGACAGATGGCCGGGTCCAGAGTCCCAAATGTGACACACTGACCAGGAGTCACTCTGCATGAGAAACTGAGCCCTGGCTTCCACTTTAAGGAGTCTGCTATTCAATTCAGAATTTTCATAGAAAACTTGATTAAGAGGCTTCCCTGGTGGCGCAGTCGTTAAGAATCCGCCTGCCAATGCAGAGGACACGGGTTTGAGCTCTGGTCTGGGAAGATCCCACATGCCGCGGAACAACTAAGCCCGTGCGCCACAACTACTGAGTCTGCGCTCTAGAGCCCGCGAGCTACAACTACTGAGCCCGCCTGCCACAACTACTGAAGTCTGCGTGCCTAGAGCCTGTGCTCCACAACAAGAGAAGCCACTGCAATGAGAAGCCTGTGCACCACAGCAAAGAGTAGCCCCCGCTCGCCGCAACTAGAGAAAGCCTGCGCGCAGCAACGAAGACCCAATGCAGCCAAAAAGAAAGAAAGGGAGGGAGGGAGGGAGGAAGGAAGGAAGAGAAAGAAAGCCAGTTTCATGTACCAAAGTTTAAAAAAAACCCAGAAACTTGGAAGTAAGGCAACGCACACGCGGAAGACTTGATGGTTCATGGTCCCACCGGAGCGCCTGGGAACGCCAGCCACCCGAGGCCCCGGGGAAGGCGGTCTCCCCGACCCGGCCCGACGCACGCTGCGTGACCCTGTTCTGTACACGTGATTTCCGTCACGCTGGGGAAGCAACCCAAAGGTTCCAGCGCTCTTGCCACGGAGGGAATCGACCTGTTTGCATGTAACGTGGCCACCTCACTCCTAACTCCTGTCCCCGCTGACTCTGCGTGCCAGTGTCCCGGACTGTCAGCAGAGCGACCTTCGTCAACCTTCTGCTCTTTCACGGGGTGGTAGATGTTGGCCACCAGCTCCGCGCTAGGTTATTTATTTAACTGCTTGACCTTCCAACTCCGACCCCATAAAGGGAACCTGAATGCCTCTCACAGAAATACATCTGACGCCTTATTTCCTCACTGCGTCACTTCTGTCTCAGCCCACACAGCCGGGGACAGGACGGAGCACGTCCCAGGACACAGGTGATGCGCCCAGGTGTTCACCCGGGACAAGGAACAAGCTGAGACCACGCGTGGCCAAGGCCGCTCCCCTCTCCCGTCCCGAGCTGCCCCATCTGGGAAAGGAGCTCTGGACAGGGCGGGAGGCAAAGGGCTCTCCGGCTGGTGGTCCCAGGGCAGCCCTCCCGACAAGGCAGCCACGTGAACCCCTGCGGGGGCTTAGGGGGTACGAGAGGGTTGTCTCCGTGCAGGACCACCTGACCTCAGGCTTTGAGATGAAAGGCCCCCAGAGATCCTGGTTTCCGTGAATGGAAATCACAGCCAGAGGGCAGCGCCGTCCACCTAACCTAAGAGCAAGGAGAAGCTGCAGAGCGCCGAAGCCCTCCCCTGCCCAGAGCCTCTCTCTCCACACTCACGGAAATCCCACGGGGTCCTGGGACGGGGAACCTGCCTTTCTGAACGACGTTCCTCCTAACGGCACGTGCGCAAAGCCCCACAGACAGTCCCTCCTAAGAGCTCGTCCTCCCGCCTTACCACCGGGCCACCAGCTCCCCAGGCCCCATCCAGCCCGAACCGCGGACCCACAAGAAGTCAGGCTCCAGGCCCACCTTGGTCAGCCCCAGCGATAAATACAAAAGGTGTGACTTCAATGCAAACCCTGCCCGAGAGCCAGCTCCCTCCATGTGGGAGACGTCGTCTCCTTTAAGCCCACACGGCAAGGTTAACAGGAGCCCCCGCCTTGTCTGAGGATCGAGGCTGCATTAATGGGAGAATAAGCTCCAAAAAGAGGGAGGTGATCGCCCCCTGCCATTCTGCTGCTCATACCACACCCGGATGCCACCCATCCTTCATCAGGGACGAGCTGCCGGCATCTTGCCCCTTGAATTCCTCAATGGCTTCTCCTGCCCTCATTAAAAAAATGATGGGGCTTCCCTGGTGGCACAGTGGTTGAGAGTCCGCCTGCCGATGCAGGGGACACGGGTTCGTGCCCCGGTCCGGGAGGATCCCACGTGCCGCGGAGCGGCTGGGCCCGTGAGCCATGGCCGCTGAGCCTGCGCGTCCGGAGCCTGTGCTCCGCAACGGGAGAGGCCCCAGCAGTGAGAGGCCCACGTACCGCAAAAAAAAAACAAAAACAAAAAACAAACAAACTAAAAATGATGGGGCTTCCCTGGTGGCGCAGTGGTTGAGAGTCTGCCTGCCGATGCAGGGGACACGGGTTCGTGCCCCAGTCCGGGAGGATCCCACATGCCGCGGAGCGGCTGGGCCCGTGAGCCATGGCCGCTGAGCCTGCGCGTCCGGAGCCTGTGCTCCACAACGGGAGAGGCCACGGCAGTGAGAGGCCCGCGTACCGCAAAAAAAAAAAAAAAAAAATTTTGAATCCCTGTCTTCGCCCACCAGATCCTGCAGAACCTGTAACTGCTCCTTGGAGAACCTCCCCTTCGCCCCCTCGGTCCCGCTCCTCCGGCCTCTGCCGGTTCCCCAGTCAGAGCTCCTGGCTCTCCCGCAGCTTCTACTCCCCACGTGGCTTCAGGGCTGATCCCCTCTCCCCCAGGCCCTCAGGGGGCCCCAGCCTGTGCTCATCCTCCCCCCCTTCCCTGTGCTCTCAGGCACTATCACAGCCCACGGTAAGTCTCTTGTCCGTGGACTCGTCTCCCAGGGAGCGCGGAGCCTGCTTCGCTCACCATGATGTCCTTGGCCCAGAGCTCTGCAGCCGCACACAGCAGGCGGTCCATAAGTGCTTGCAGAACCGGTGAGCCGGCGACCATCAGGGCCTTCGGGGCTGACTCAGAAGTAAGAAGAGACGTGCCAGAAAAGGCGGACGCTGGGATGAACAGTGATTTGGCAAACGAGGTCTGGTGAAATGCAGCCAGCCCCTCCCCCAAAGGGAGGGAAAAGTGTCTGGACCCCCCGATGCCTCGCTGGGCGGGTGCCTGGACCCCCCGACGCCTCGCTGGGCGGTGACCATCTGCAGAGCTCTCGGTGCCAGGATGCATTCTGCTCACGGCGATTCTCCAAGGCGGAAACGTCCGTCATTCCCAGAGGAAAGGAGGCCTGGGGGCAGGCCAGCCCGAGGTTGTGTGTAGAGGATGGTGTGAGGTCTTATTCACAGGCAAACTGGACCACGGGGACAGGCCAGGCAGCAGAGCCCTTGCGCTGGGGACATGGAGGGTCCCAGGAGAGGACAGGTCATCCATCTGTACCTCAGCCACGCGGCCTAGAGCTGGGTTACTGGGCCTCAGTGCCCGTCCGACCCCAGCCAAGGCGCAGCACTAACGAGGTGCTGAGAAGTGTCTGCCGTGCCCGTCACCTGGGCGAGGGTCAGGTCTGACAGTCAGCTCAAGTCCAGCAGCGGGGCGCCATGGGCCCACCTAGCAGGGTGGCTTGCAGCCAGGTGAGAGGAAAACCTTGTTGGGGGCAGAGGGCGGGTTAGGGAGCCGGCCTGACCCCCAGACCTGATCCCCACCCCCTTGCCTGGGCCGGCCAGCATGCCCACACCTGCTGGTGCCTGGAGAAACCTCGTCTGCTCTCCTCTGGCTGCGTCTGCCACCTGTACTTGGGCACTGCCTGCTCCCTCATGGCTCCTGGGAGCCCCCCGACTCGTGGCCCCTCAGAAAGCAGGCTTGAGGACCCTTGCCCGTTCAGGAGGCCACGGCTCCTTGCCTGGAGCTACAGGGCACCTGGGGGAGGCACGTTCAGGCAATCCTAGGTGAAGGCGCCTGGGAATGCAGCTGCCTGTGCAGAGAGGGTTGTGAGCGGAGCTGCGAGTTACCTGACGGGCGATGCAGGGGACCCTCCTGCAGATGAGGGTCCCCACTGGCCCCTGTGGTGCCTTCTACAGCTCCCAGGATCCCTCATCAGACCCCAGGAATCGGTATTTTTTTTTTTTTTTGGCTGTGTTGGGTCTTTATTGCTGCGCGCGGGCTTTCTCTAGTTGCGGTGAGCGGGGGCTACTCTTCGTGCGGTGCACAGGCTTCTCATTGCAGTGGCTTCTCTTGTCGCGGAGCACGGGCTCTAGGTGCACGGGCTTCAGTAGTTGTGGCACGTGGGCTCAGGAGTTGTGGCACACAGGCTCCAGAGCGCAGGTTCAGTAGTTGTGGCACACGGGCTTAGTTGCTCCGCGGCATGTGGGATCTAGTTCCCAGACCAGGGCTTGAACCCGTGTCCCCTGCATTGGCAGGCGGATTCTTAACCACTGCGCCACCAGGGAAGCCCCAGGAATCGGTATTTTTAACAAGCTCCCAGGCAGAGGCACCACGAAGACAGAACCTTCAGGCTCCTTGTCCAAAGATTCTACGAGGGACAGAACGCCAGGCACCATCTGCTGATGCATATCTTGAGATTTCAGTGGCTAAAAGCCACCATCTCCCAGGACCCTGCAATGCTGGCATCCCGCGAGCCCTCCACGTCATCCGGCTTCGTCCTCGTCAGCATCCCGTCTTGAAGCACCAGTTGCCAAGGCGCAAGGGGAAGAAGCAGGGGCCCGGGCTCTCCGCTGGGATGGCAGAGCCATCCTGACAGCTGCCCCCTCACACCTAGTTGGAAGCTTCCAGAATCCCAACGCCCCCGCCAGGCTCCAGCAGGACATTCTAGAGAACAGAAGGCTGCCTCCGTACCCCCTCCATCAACTGGGGTGACCAACAGAGGCGCTTAAAGCCAGCATCAAATAGATTCACAGGGGCCGCGTAAGAGCGGTATAATTATTTTTAGAAGAAGGTCCCTGCGTTGATTCCTAACGAGCTGTCGCTCTCTCCCATTGACAGTGTTGATTCTGATCAGGGACCCCACTAACGGGCATGATTATCACAGGTGACTTTCTGGCGGGGTGGAGGCCGGCGCCCTCTCTGCGTCTAGACTCAGCCTAACCACCTGGGAGGGGCCTGGAGAAGAAGGGCCGCCTCGGATCCTGACAAGAGCATCTATACCCGCTCGGGCTCCACGGACACTTGCCCCGAAGCTGCGGAGACTCGCACAGGACCAGGGCACCACTGGAAGATCCAGGGCTCTGCGCTTCTCGGTCCCGGAACCACGTCTCCCCACGTTCAGGGCTGAAGCCAGTTTATGCCAAGACGGCCACGCAACCGTGTCCAGGGCTGCCGTCCGCACCCCCGCCCGGCTGCCCAGGTCCGGCCCCTACACCTGCCCGGTCACCGCAGCCTTCGCTGGGTGTGGACCAGCACGTCGGCAGCGCAGGCCTGGTCTCTGCTCACCCTCAGGGCACCAAGGGGCACAGACACCATCGTGGCCCCTGACCGACAGATAAAGAAGTCGGGCTGTGGTGTCGTGTAGAAGCAGCGGCATGGCCTCAGCCCTGGGGACCCAGCACCTGGGCTCTCAGCCATGGCTCCCTGCAGCCCCTGAAGCCCCTCACTCAGGCTGGCACAGGCGGGGGTGAGTGCAGTTGTAGAGGCAGGCGCCACAGGTCACCTCCCCCCAGGCACAGAACTCAGGGGCAGACTCTCCCGGTGCCCGATTCCCGTGGGGTCTGCAGCATGGCAGGGGCGTCGTGATGGCACGAGTGTCCTTCAGCCACCACGACCCCCAAGAATAGAGGCAGAGGGGGCGGCTGGAGCCCCCGAGAGGCCCCTCCCATGCAGGCTGTGACGGCAGGGAGGGCAGGCAGTTTTCTCAGTTTACAAGTGAGGACAGGGTGAGTGTGGGAGCACCGACGCCCGCCTCGGCACCACGCAGCGGTAACCTGGGTAAACTCACCCACCAGCTCCGCCCCGTCCCCACGATGGAAGCGGAGCGGCGCCCGGACGCCCCAGAGGCCCCGGCCACTCACCTTTCCTTGAAGTCCAGGAAGACCTTGGCCAGCGAGCTGCCCCCCGCCATCATGGACACGTCGATGGCCCTCAGGAAGCTGTGATGCACCTTAATTAGGTCCTGGGACAAAAAGCAACCACGCGTGAGCAGGCACAGCAGGCTGGGGGGCACGCGGGCTCCGTGGTCACGCTCCTTCCGGGCTGCCGTTCTGATGGAAGGACGTCCACGTGAGCGGCCGGGCGCCGGGCGTACTTCCACACGTACACACCGGCTGCCGTTCACTAGAAGGTGCCACAGCCGTCCAGAGTCTGCACAGCCTGTCCAGACACACGGTGCCCGGCCCCAGCCGGCATCGTCGGGACCCGCCCGCTGTACGCGGGAGTGCAGGGGCGCAGGCGCCCTGACGGGTGAAGTCTCTCCGCTGTGGAAGCGGGGCCTGGGGAAGTGTGTCCGCACTCCAGAGCAGAGGGGTGGCTGGCAGGCAGCACCGTCCCCCATCCAGGTTCCCAGTCCTGTGGCCACGTGTGCCACTGCTCACGGCAGGATGAGCTCTGGGCCGGGGGGCGCAGGGGCTGCGAAGCTCCGGGGTCTGCGTCAGCCTCACCCAGGAGGTGCCCAGCGCCCACCCCTCAAGCCGTCGGCACCCCAAGGAAGAGTAGGGCCAGTGCTCCCCGACGAAGCCCACCCACACACAGCTCTGGGCCCGGCTCTGCTGACCACATCGAGGTGAGCCGCCCCACGCGGGATGGCCCTCCGGTGTCCGTGTTCAGACACCGCAGAGCAGTGAGGGCGCTCTGTTTGCTCAGAGAGGGGGAGGGGACACACTTCCCTCCACTGACGACAAAACCTGGTGCTTCCTCCAGGGCGTGTGCGTCCCGGGCACACCCGCCAGCACAGTCTTGGGCAGGGAAGCTCCCAGAAACTGTCCTCTGTCTCCTAAAACCAAAGTCCCCGAGAAATGGGGGCCTGCTCACCGCCCCCTATCCATCAGCCACGAAACACCCTTTAGCCAGGATCAACCATCAAGCCCTGGGGACGGTCACGTGGGAGCCCGCCTGACGCCCGAGCAGGTTAGGACCTCCAGCCCACACACGGTGAGCCAGGGTGGGACCCTTACCTCCAGGTTGATGAAGATGGCCGCCATGTCCGCCGGGCTCAGCACGAGCCTCAGAGGGGTCACGTAGTTCTGGAAGAGAGAAGCCCGTCACCGCCTGAAGGATGCCCGTCACCGTCGAGGCCACAGTCGCCGGTCGGAGGGGCTCTAACGGCCTCAGAGAAAAACAGGCGACTGCAGGCAGCGCCCCCGTTCCCCCATCAAGGGTCCTGCGGGGCGGCCGCTCACCAGCACACGGGGGTGCTCCACGCTTACTGGAGAGGGGGAGACCTGCGCGGGAAGTGTGGGACCGGGTGGGGGTCAGGCCTGAGGACCCGCCAGGTGGGCAAAGCTCCACAGAGGGCCCCTTGCACGTGGCGCTGGACTTCCACCCTAAGGCCAGCCAGGGTGGGCTCTGCTGTTTGAGATATTTGAGCAAGTGGGGTCCTCCCGGGAGGCGAGAGGCGTCACCCAAGGGAGAGCCTGAGGAACGAGAAATGCCGTGATTCCCACCCGACACCGGTTCCTGAGCCTACACCCATGAGCGCACCCCCAAACCTGTCATCAAGAGGCCCGCTCCGGCCCCGCAAGCGCCACAGTGGCCGGGGTGCTTCTGCCCCCGGCCTCCTGGAGGCCCCTGCGGGGAACGACCAGCCACCCTCCCCTCTCCCTGCCCCTTCTCCCACAGGGTCCTGGTCCCCTGGCCCTCTCCTTGGCCGCTGTGTGCAGCAGGAGAGACCTGTCCAAACGAGCAAGCACTAGGGGCTGCTGCACGCACCCAAGCACTTCTCCCTGTGCCGTGGCGGCACCGGCCACTGTGTGACTCGGTCTCCTCACCTGACACGGGGATGGCAACACGGTTAGGGGAGGATTGCAAACACGATCGTCCCCGAGAACACTCAGCACATGCACACCCTGGCTGGGCACGCCCCCAGCTCAACCCCCGACGTGCGCTGCGCCCGCAGACGGGCAGCACCCGCCCCCAAAGCCCACACTGCAGGGGTGGAGACGGGCCACAGCGGCCCACCGGTTTTCTGCGACGAAACTCGGGCTGCGTGAAGCCTGCAGGGCCCTGGAAGGAGCTGACACGGGAGCTGGGACTCGAAGGAGTGGGCAGCTGGGACCATGTGTCTGCAGAAAAGCTGGTGGTCGGGGAGAAGCTAAAGGGCGGACACACAAGGGTTGTGTGGGGCGGGAGGAGGGAAAAGGTCAGAAGCCTGGGCCAGACCTGGGGCCAAGGGGCATCTCACGACCCCCGGCTGGAGGCTCCACAGTGCCCTAAACAGTGGGGACCTTCTCAGGCCACCCCCTTATGGCTACACTTGGCCTTACTCTGCAATGAAAGACCGGCCAGGAAGGGTCCGTCTCAAAAACCGTGTTGGTTCTTTCACGCCAGCGTGCACTGGCAGCTGGCAATGAGGATGCCCAAGTGACAGGGAAACGGCACTGCGCCAGTGACCACAGGAGGCCAGGGCGGATGGCAGGAGCAGGCCCGCCCGTGGTTCTCCAGGAGCTGGGCAGGCCGGCAGGGAGACAGCGCTGACCAGCCATTCAGGGGAGCACACAGGCCGCCACAGGAGCTCCAGAGACTCACGTCACTGGGCCCAACTGCGTCCCAGGTGCAGGATGCCCAGTGGGTGGTACTGCTGTTATCGCAGCTCACGGGGTGGGGAGGCTGAGTGCAGACAGCACCCCAGGGAGGAAGGACACATCAAGAGCTCACTCAGCGCCTGGCCTGGGGGAGAGTGTATACAGAAGGCGTCTAGCTCTGGGTGAGGATACACACATAAAGAGCCTAGCTCGGCGCATTCCGGAGCGGAAGCCATAACGACGCCCCGTCTAGGCTGGAAGGAGCCTGTGAAACAAGCCCAGGAACAGTCCAGGGTCCGAGCTGAGGCCAAAGGGTGGGAGGTGGGGCCAGGGCCAAGGGTGGCAGCTGACGAGGAAGCTGGGCTGAGTGGAGCCCACAGCCTGTGGGGGCAGAGGGCAGAGGGCAGAGGGCAGAGGAAAGGTGAGGGCGACCTCCTTTTTGGAGGGTGCAAAACCGAGAGGGCCCCTGAGCCCCGCCTCCGTCACCGCTGCCCGGAGTCCCTGCCCGGTGACAGCGGCTCCCAGGAGGCAGGGGTCCCGGGTGGACCCGGCGGCCACGCCCACCTTCTCGATGTCCTCCAGGGTCCGGTAGTACTTGGCTTCCGTCTCCTGGATCTCCAGCAGGCAGCAGCTTCTCTTGTCGTCCTCCGTCATGCCCATTTTCTAGAGGGGGCACAGGAGGTCAGCCAGGACCCCGCCATGCCCTCCACCTGCCGCCCGCCCGGGCTCGGCCATGGGGTCACTGAGCGTGAAGGGGGCCGCGTGGGAGACAAAAGGCCCTTCCCCTCCTTTCTGCAGGCGGGCAGCCTGAGGCACGGGGGAGGGGATGTGGTGTGACCCTGAGAACCGACGACAGCGCAGAGATGGGACAGAGGCTTCCGAATCTGTCTCCACCAGACTGGTCGCCCCCTCCAGCAGATACAGCGGGCGTCACATGCGTAAAGCGCCGGCTACGTGCACAGAGAGGGTCTGACCAGCTCCCTGAGAACACATGTCCACCCGCTGACCCACCTCCCAGCTTCAGCCTGCTACCGCCTCAGAGGAAGAAGCCAATTCCCCACAGGGCTGGACCTTCCAAATGTCCACTGCCTCGGACCAGGTTCCGAGCTAACAGCCCGTCGGCAGGGGTCACTGAGGACACGCCTCTGAGGCGGGGCCTGCCCACCTCTGGGGTGGGACTGACCAAGAGACTGTGGCCACAGGGGCCGGGGGAGAGGCAGCAGGTGGGCTGACTGTCGGAGGTTCTGTGGATGGTCCAGACACTCTCCTTAAGTCCTTTCAGTCCAAGCAAGCAAAGCTCCGGGGAAACAGTGCTGGGACGTGGGACGCGCCGTCTGGACTCATACCTGCCCTGACGTCATCCTCCCCCTCCTCCAGGAAATGCCCCAGGGCCCCGCGTGGGTTTGCCGGGGCCACAGTTCTCCAAAGTAACCTGCCAGGCGGGCACGTCACCCAGGCCCCCCAGGCCCCTTCCCAAAGCCCGAAGCCCCGCTCAGCCTGGGAATTCAGTGTTGAGGGTCCACAGTTCCCCTAAAACTGTGTGTAAGAATGTGGTGCCCAACAGCGTCTCCCTGGGGACAGGGTCCCGAGTTCCTCCCGGAAGTCAGAGGAAGATGGTGCTGGCAGAACTGGCCCCGGGCCTCCCCTCCACCTGCCACTTACCTGCATGTATCTAATCTGAAAGCGTGGAGAGACAAATAGGGCAAAGAACCAGTTAGCGGTGCTTACGCTCATTCAAGCCGAGCTTGGGGGAGTCAGGGAGCTCACCCCCATGAGCCAACGGCCCCAGAGGGCACGTCACACCCTCCGCCCGCCCGCATGGGAGCCTGGCGGGGCGGCGGGGACAGCACCAGGACCGAGCACATGGCAGCTTGCCCACGGCCGGGCTCTGAGAGTGGCACCTGCCATCTCCTGGCTGTAGCTTCCTTTAGAAACATCACTATTCCCAATACTTTCCACTTAGACCGTTCAGATAGCTCCAGACGTGACAGGAGAGGAAATAAAACCAGCTGTTGTATCTCAGAGGACCTGGCGGGTGGCAGGAGATGGACAGGACAGCTCGTGAGCCCAGCGCCGAGACTTGGGGCGCTACGCATCGCTGGGCAGGTGGGACGCTGGTTTGTCCCCAGGACACAGGCGGGCATCTCCCCCAGCCCCGCGGGTCCTGCAAACGCCCCGGGTCCTGTCATGTGCTTTCAGCACCAGGGACAGCAGCGGCCTCCGGGGAGCACCCACTCCAGGGCTTCTGCAAGCCAGGTGCAGACGGGGTCTCGTGGGAGCTTGTACAGCCAGGGGGCAGGGGATCCCCCCAAACACACAGGCCACTACACCCACATGCCTTCGCCTAACCCAAGGACACCCAGCTTCCAAAGGGCCTGGGGAGTCAGGCGGTGCCCATCTCACTCAGCCTGCTGGCGATGCGGGAGGCCAGCCAGCCTCTCAGGCCGGGGCAGCCAAGCAGAGCCCTCCGGCCCCCTGAGCCCACTTCCAGGAAGGTCCAGGAGCAGAGCTGCCTACCATTAGGCTGCCCGGGGCGGGGGCAGACCTGGGCTCACAGACCCACAGCTGACTCTCCAGAGTGAGATTCCTGGTAATTGTGGGGAGCGAAACCCACCTTCAGACCCTTGAGGGGCAAAATGAGAAACCCGTTCCTAGAAGCAGCATCTGGGGCTGTGAGCCACTGCCCGGCATCTTGGCACGTCTCCCGTCAGAGAGCGGGAAGGGCCTCTCTGAGAGGCCTCGTGGGGAGCTGTGTCCTACCCTTTTGTTTCTCCACCACCAGCTGGTGGCCCCCACACTGAGGGAAAAGACTGAAACCCGCTTTCAGAGAAATTTCCCCCATTTCTCTGGTGAGGGCAGATGGCATCAAAAGCCGCCACAGTGGGCAACTGGCATCGCGACCGCCCCCAGGAGTCTGGGGGTGCGAAAGGGCTGTGGTCCACGCCACCAGAGCCCCGTCTCCCGTCCTGGCCTGGCAGGAACCCTCCCGCCCCAGTACAGCAGCTGTGGGCAGCACACGGAGCTGCAGCAAACCAACATCCGAGACGCGATTAGCCGACGCCCGTCGGAAATAAACATCCTCGCGCAGGAAAGACGCAGGGCTGGCTCAGGGCAGAGGGAGGCAGGCTGCCTGAGACCAGCACCGCGTCACTATCTAAGGCTCCCTGCGCAGGAAGGACTCGGGGTCCTGCACGCCCTCCGGAGAAGACTTCCAGAGCAACACGTCCAGGGAGGCGGGGTGGCAGCGGTGTCACATCCCGGTCTCCCTAGAACATTTCATAGGAAAGAAGGGACCTGGCCGACCGGCGCAGGGGATGAACCCCATGGTGGCCAGGAAGGACCGGGTGCAGCTCCCCACCCCCACGCCCGTGGCTCAGACGGTGGGGTCTGCGCAGAGGCTTTAAAGGAGGGGCAGGGCGGGCAGCGGGGGCTCACCATGGGCTGCTGCACTTCCACCTTGATGATGTCCTCATAAATGTCGTCCCCTTCATCCTCGCACGGGACGCAGTCGTAGATGTCCTCCCCCACGTCATGCTCACTGCACAGGAGGGAAGCGGGGGAGAGGGGTGGGGGGCTGAAGCCACGTCCACGAGGGGGGCCCCCAGAGGGGAGAGGCAGTTGGGGCCACCATGAGGCCCTCCCTCTCGGCCTCAGTGTCCTGGTCCAAGGACAGGGCACCTGCTTCCCGTGGTTTCTGGTAGTTTAACCCAGGCAGCCTGGGAGTGCCTTGTGCTCTGCCTGCCGCCCTTCTGGAAGGTCCCACCATGACAAAGCGCACCTACGCCAGCCCTTTAGTAAAAGCAGGGACACACGCTGGGGCCCGGGGGTGAGATGCTGCCTTAACGGGAATCTTTGCATAGCTGACGGACAGGCATGCCCAGTTCTGGGGACCAAATGCCCTCTCCCTGGGCCCACGCCTGGGACCTGGAGCCCCGAGAGCTCTGGGCTCAGCCCAAGGTCTCCCCAGTCCCAGCAGTCGAAGTGTGAAGGTCAAAGTGCAGAGCTCACAGGCACGTGGACGTTTTCCCCACCAGTCAGCAAGGGAGCAGAGCAGAGGGGCGAGGAGTTTGTGATGCCCCTCCCAAAGGAGCAAGGAAGCTACCACTTAACTTACGATTCAATAAACCTTTGTTTTCAGCTCACGATCTTGCCAACAAGTTATCCCCTCTGACCTGCAAGCCTCCAGTCAAGGGACACCTCCTCCAAGAGGCCTTCTGGGATCCCCCGCCCAGTCTGCCATCCGGGACTCTCCGTCTGGAGCTCTTGTACCAAGGGCATCCCTCTCACTGCATCTCCAATTATTTTATAAGTGCCTGTGGATAAGCCCGTCTCTTCCCCAGACGAAACCCAACTTCTTCCTCCCTTCTGATCCCCACTCCGGATACAAAATAGGTGCTCAGCAAATATTTCACTGAATGAGGCAACCGCAAGTGAGCCAACCCGACTTGTCCCTCACCTCCCACAGGCCCCCAGCCCCCAGGGGTCACTCTGGCCTGGGGATCGGGGACAGGAGTCACCCTGGGCCCAGGGCAGCCAGCTCTTCAGCCTGCCGTGGGGTCCGACCTCGGGGCAGGCTGTGCTCAGAGGCCAGCTCCCCCGGGAGGCCCACGCCAGCCCCGAGTGCCTCTCTGTGTGAGGACACATCTCACGGCCTGGCTCAAAGGAGGCCTGGCAAAGTTCTCTTCCGAAAGGCGTCAGCATGAGGTGGACCACTTCCCCTCCCCAACGCACAGAGTCCGGGGGCGGGGGAGGAGGGAGGCGAGAGCAGAAACGATTACCCAGCGGCTCTTACGAGTGGGTTTCTGGCCCGTCCCAAACCTAGCTTTTGAATATTAGCTGTCATTCTAGAGGCTGGGGAGGGGGAGACAGGTCACCACAAGCCTACTGGAGAGAACGTGTCGTATTCAAGGAAGGTCGCAGCAGCCAGTCTCCCCAGCGCCCTGGACACCTCCCCCGTGGGGCTGAGCTGCAACGGGACAGTGGGTAGATGCATCAGACTTCCCTCTGTGGGGGGCGATTCCAGGCACGGGGGTGAGCCAGTGTCTACCTTGATGAGACCCCCGCAGGGAGCTGAGGAGCAAGGGCAGGAGAGGAAGCTGCTGCTTTGGGGGTGCGTCACTTGCTGTTTTACCAACACCACCCCAGGAAGCAAAAGTTGGCCTGAGGACAAAGCCACATACACGGGGCTCGGCCAGCTAACGGGCCCCCCGTAACTGTGACGTCACCCACCCCCCGACGAGCCCGTCCACAGGCATGCCAACGCACGCACGTGTGGGCACTTGGAAAACACGTATGCTTTTCAACTTAACACACCCTTGGAGATGGAGAGCACTGAGGCCCTTTCACAGATTAGAAAACCACACACCGAGGCTCCACAGCGGCTACAGGGAGCTGCGGGGTGATCCCGGCCCCAGCTCGTCCTTTCTCCCCTCTCCTGCCCGCCCTCCACCGCGAGACGAGTGTGTGGATGTCGGCAGTGCCAAGAACTGGGGTGGGAATCAGCACCCAGATGGTGACGGGGCTCCCAGCTCCTGTCAGAACCAATGAGAAGGCGGAGAGGGGGTTCTGTCCCCCAAGGTGGGCCTTGGGAACGGTCACTCGTGTTGACACAAATCACCCCCGCCTCTCCAGAGGCTGCCCCCAAAGGAAACCGTTCCCGCAGCCCTGCCCACCAGATTGCCGGGGGTCCAGGCAGGTACCTGCAGGGTTCCTTCCGAAGGATGCCAGACACCCTGGATTTCTGTCGTGCAGCCAACCGAGGCTGGTGACAAAGGCACTGTCGCGAATTCTGACAGCGTGGAACAGAGGGGAGACACGGAGGCCCCCGGGCTGCTCAGTGAGACACCTCAAAGGCAGATCAGCCCGCCCGTACCGTCCGAAGACAGTCATCAGCTTTGCTCTGATGGGCCGCTGGAAGGAAGTGGGCTGGATGGGGGGACCTTGACAGTCAAATATTCTACGAACCGATGAAATGAATAAAATGACTGAACGTCAGCCTGGAAAGGGTCCTCGAGACCATCAGGTGCAGGGACAGCAATCTGCCAGCCCAGGAGCCCCCTTTCTCATCCCACCTTTGGGGGAACGTCCTGACTGACCCCAGGACTCTATCCCATCCAGCTCAGAATGTTTTTCGGCAAAGACCCCCATGCAGCCCCCACCATCGGTCAACCGGAATCAGGGCTCGAGATGCAACGGAGCCCAAAGTTCTCTGTCGTGCGGATGGGGAAGCCGGGGTGCACGGGCGGGGAACTGGCCACGTGGTCTTTCGGAAGCCGCGTTCCTGCTCTGCTATCTCCTGGTTGGTGGACCGGTCAGAATGCTTTCATTGGCTGAGGACCTGATGGCGTGGGCACTGAGGGCTCTTCAGAGAAATAGAGCCGGAGATCTGTCGATCTTAGGGTGATGCAGGTGCCCGCCCCATTAGGACCCCAAGCAAGAGCTGTGCTTGACGGAGAGGACAGTGAAGGCTGGAGAGGTCAGAAGCTTCCCAGACAGGTGGGACTTGAAAGACGCTTGGACACCAGTGTTGACCGTGGGGTCCTATGGAAGGTGCCGAGGGGCAGAGTCCCTCCTCTGCCACCCTCTTCACTGGCACCATCCGCAGATCTGGGCATGCACCGACGTCTACACGCACCTATTGTGTCTACAGAGCACCTACTGCATTTCGAGCGTGGGGCGGAATGCCGTAACACAGGCTTCTCATTTGGGGGATAGGATTTATGTAGATCGAGATGTACCCTGAGCTCCACCATTTTGACAAGGGGACGCCCCTGTGTAATTCACACCCCGTGACATCACAGAGCATCCTCTTCTCCCCTGAAAGTCCCTCTCCTCCCTGATCGACCCCTCCTCCTCCCCTAGTAACCCGCCTCTGACTGTTCCTCACCAGAGATTCCCTTCGTCTGTTCTAGAACGTCGCATCAACTGCGTCGTCTGTTACATTCACGTCTGTGTCTGGCTTCCCCTCCTCGACATCATGCCCCTGAGATCCAGGCTGTTGCCTCCATCAGCAATTCATTCCTTTTTATTGCTGAGTCCTAATCCCACAATTTGACATCCATTCTCCTTTTGATGAACATTTGGGTTGCTTCCAAGTTCTGGTTATTGTAAATAAAAGCTGCTATGAGCATTTGCCTTTTTTTTTTTTTTTTTTTTTGTGGGCATGTGCTCTCATTTCCTTTGGAAATGAAATTCCATGAGGAGTGGAATTGTTGGATCAAAGGGGAGGTGTGTGTGTTTATCTTCATCAGTAACTGCCAAGCACTTTTCCAAAGTGGCTGCAGCGTTTAGTCCACCACCAGCAGTGTACACGAGTTACAGTTGTTGCGGTTCTCTCCAGCTCTGGCGGGTTCCAGCCTTTTTAATTTTAGCCACTAGAGCAGGTATGTAGTGAGAATTGCGGTTTTATTTTGCATTCCTGCAAAGATCAATGATGTTCACATTTTTTCTGTGTACTTATGGACGTTTGTGTATCTTCCTATGAGAAAGGCTTGCTCAAGACTTTTGTCCATTTCTAAAAATTGGTTGCCTTATTCTTGTTGAATTCTAGCAGTTCTTTATTTACGATGGATACAAGTCTTTTGTCAGATATGTTTTTTGAACTTTTTTTTCTCAGTCTCTGGCATGGCTGCTCGTTTTCTTAATGGTGCCTTTTGATAAACATTCATTTTTCATTTTAATGAACGTTAATTTATTGACTTTTTCTTCTATGGTGTCCTGACTCTATCCTGTGTTGCACCTACAAAATCTTTGTGCCTTGTGTAAGAAATCTCTGCTTTCTTCCAGGTTGCAAGGTCTTTCTCCTGTATCTTCTTCTAAGACCTATATGGTTTCAGTGTTTTTGTTTAGGTCTCTAATCCATCTCAAATGGATTTTTGTATATGGTGTGAGGTAGGGATCGAAGTTCATTTACTCATCCCCACGTGGATATCCAGATGTTTCAGAACAATTTGTTGAAAACTTTCTTTTCTCCATTGGGTTGCTTGGATCTCTTTGACAAAAACCAATTGACTATACATGTGTGGGTCTGTTCTAGAATGCTCTATTCTAGCCCATCAATACATTCAGCTATCTTTATGCCAATACCACTCTGTCTCGATTAATTTATTTTATAGAAAGTATAAAACTAAATAGAGAGTTTTATAGAAATCAGGCAGTGTAAATCCTCTAGCTTTGTTCTTTTATAGGACTGTTTAGACTATCCTAAAGTCCTTTGTATTTCCACATCAACTTTATAATCACCTTGTCAATTAAAAAGAAAAGTCTGTTGGAATTATAATAGGAACTGTAGTGACTACAGTTTAATCTGGGGGAAAACTGACATCTTAACAATATCATCTTCCAACCCACAAACATAGTATACACTTTCATTTATTTAGATCTTTAGGTCTCAGCAACATTTTGTAGTTTTATCATAGAGGTTTTAGAATTTAGGAAGCTTGGGACTACTGTTTTTTTCAATTTTTTTTTTTCCTGCCTTATTCTCTCTTTCTTCTCCTTCTGGGATTCCAATTATACCTGTTAGACCACTTGATATTG